CCCTTAGGGTTTTTCCCCAATGGCCTTCAGAGGTTTAATTTGCTACTTTTGTCTCCAGGGGAAATCTCCACAATTCCCTACTTTTCTCTTCAGTCCAGGGAATTCATCTCATTGATTGTATGAGGTCAGAACTCCAAAGTCTGTGTTGCTGGCCCTTTTTAAATTGAGGTAAAAAACACGAAGCATAATATTCGCCATCTTAACCATTTCTGAGTGGACAGTCAAGGCTGTTAAGTCCATTCACGCTGTTGTATATTCAATGTCCGGAACGCTTTTCATCTTTTCAAACTGGACCCTTGAACGCTTAAAGAAATGACTCCCACCTTGTCCCTTCCCCCAGCCAACAGCAATCATCATTCTACTTTCTGTGTCTATAATTTTGACTTCTCTAAGTAACTCACATGCATGGAACGATATAGTATTTGTCCTTTTGTATCTGACTTACTCCACTTAGCATAACCTCAAAGTTGATCCATTTGTAACACGTGTCAGACTTGCCTTTCTTTTTAAGGCTGAATAACCTTCCATTGTGTGTATATATCATGTTTTACTTACCCATTCTTATGTCAGTAGACACTTGGGCTGTGTCCTCCTTTTGGATATTGTGAATAATGCTGCTATAGACATGGCTTTAAAAATATCTTGACTGGGCGCAATGGCTCACACCTGTAATCCCAGCACTTTGGGAAGCCGAGGCGGGTGGATCACAAGGTCAGGAGTTTGAGACCAGCCTGACCAACATGGTGAAACCCCATCTCTACTAAAAATACAAAAATTAGCTGGGCATGGTGGCACATGCCTGTAAGCCCAGCTACTCCGGAGGCCAAGGCAGGGGAATTGCCTGAACCTGGGAGACAGAGGTTGCAGTGAGCCAAGATCATGCCACTGCACTCCAGCCTGGGTGACAGAGTGAGATTTCATCTCAAAAAAAAAAAAAAAAAAAAACTCTTTGAGCCTCTTTTCTGTGTCATCTCAGAGGTGTTCAGCTGCTTCAAGATGAAGCTGGACGTCTCCTTCCCAGCCACTGGCTGCTAGGAACTCATTGAAGTGGACAATGAATGAAAACTTCATACTTTTTATGAGAAGCGTATGGCCACAGAAGTTGCTGCTGACGCTCTGGGTGAAGAATAGAAGGGTTATGTGGTCTGAATCAGTGGTGGGAACGACAAACAAGGTTTCCCATGAAGCCGGGTGTCTTGACCCATGGCCGTGTCTACCTGCTACTGAGTAAAGGGGCGTTCCTGTTACGGACCAAGGAGAACTGGAGAAAGAGAAAATCAGTTCATGGTTGCATAGTGGATGCCAACCTGAGCGTTCTCAACTTGGTTATTGTAAAAAAATGGAGAGAAGGATATTCCTGGACTGACTGATACCACGGTGCCTCATCACCTGGGGCCCCAAAGAGCTAGCAGAATCTGCAAACTTTTTTTCTTCTTCTTCCTTCCTTCCTTCTTTCCTTTTCTTTCTTCTTCTTCTTCCTTCCTCCTCCTCCTCCTCCTCCTTCCTCTTCTTCCTCCTCTTCCTCCTCCTCCTCCCTCCTCCTCCTTCCTCTTCCTCCTCTTCCTCCTCCTCCTCCCGCCTCCTCCTTCCTCTTCCTCCTCCTCCTCCTCCCTCCTCTTCCTCCTTCTTCCTCCTCTTCCTCCTCCTCCTCCCTCCTCTTCCTCCTTCCTCTTCTTCCTCCTCTTCCTCCTTCCTCTTCTTCCTCCTCTTCCTCCTCCCGCCTCCTCCTTCCTCTTCCTCCTTCCTCCTCCTCCTTCCTCTTCCTCCTTCCTCTTCTTCCTCCTCCTCCTCCCGCCTCCTCCTTCCTCTTCCTCCTTCTTCCTCCTCCTCCTCCCTCCTCCTCCTTCCTCTTCCTCCTTCCTTCTTCCTCCTCTTCCTCCTCCTCCTCCCTCCTCCTCCTTTCTGCTTCCTCCTTCCTCCTTCTTCCTCCTCTTCCTCCTCCTCCTTCCTCTTCCTCCTCCTCCTTCCTCTTCCTCCTTCTTTCTCCTCTTCCTCCTCCTCCTCCCACCTCCTCCTTTCTGCTTCCTCCTTCCTCCTTCTCTTCCTCCTCCTCCTCCCTCCTCCTCCCTCCTCCTCCTTCCTCTTCCTCTTCTTCCTCCTCTTCCTCCTCCTCCTCCCTCCTCCTCCTTTCTGCTTCCTTCTTCCTTCTTCTTGTACTTTAGGTTCTGGGGCACATGTGCAGATCATGCAGGGTTGTTGCATAGGTACTTAATGGCAAGGTGGTTTGCTGCCTCCATCCCCCTGTCACCTATATCTGGCATTTTTCCCCGTTATCCCTCCTCAACCTCCCCACCCCCCGCTGTGCCTCCCATAGCCTCCCACAACAGACCCCAGTGTGTGATGCTCCCCTCCCTGTGTCCATGTGTTCTCATTGTTCAACACCCACCTATGAGTGAGAACATGCAGTGTTTGATTTTCTGTTCTTGTGTCAGTTAGCTGAGAATGATGGTTTCCAGATTCATCCATGTCCCTACGAAGGGCATGAACTCATTGTTTTTTATGGCTGTATAGTATTCCATGGTGTATATATGCTACATTTTTCTTTCAGTCATTGATGGGCATTTGAGTTGGCTCCAAGTCTTTGCTATTGTAAACAGTGTTGCAGTGAACATGCGTGTGCATGTGTCTTTATAACAGAATGATTTATAATCCTTTGGGTATATACCCAGTAATGGGATTGTTGGGTCAAATGGTATTTCTAGATCCTTGAGGAATCGCCACACTGTCTTCCACAATGGCTGAACTAATTTACACTCGCACCAACAGTGTAAAAGTGTTCCTATTTCTCCACATCCTCTCCAGCATCTATTTTCTGCAGATTTTTTAATGATCGCCATTCTAACTGGCGTGAGATGGTATCTCAGTGTGGTTTGGATTTGCATTTCTCTAATGACCAGTGATGATGAGCATTTTTTCATATGTTTGTTGGCCTCATGTATGTCTTCTTTTGAAAAGTGTCTGTTCATATCCTTCCCCCACTTTCGAATGGGTTGGTTGGTTTGTTTCTTGTAAATGTTTTAGTTCTTTGTAGATTCTGGATATTAGCCCTTTGTCAGATGGGTAGATTGCAAATTTTTTTTCCCATTCTGTTGGATGCTGATTCACTCTAATGATTGCTTCTTTTGCTGTGCAGAAGCTCTGGAGTTTAATTAGGGCCCATTTGTCTATTTTGGCTTTTGTTGCCAATGCTTTTGGTGTTTTTGTCATGAAATCCTTGCCTATGCCTATGTCCTGAATGGTTTTGCCTAGGTTTTCTTCTAGAGTTCTTATGATGTTAGGTCTTATGTTTAAGTTTTTAATCCATCTGGAGTTTATTTTAGTGTAAGGTGTCAGGAAGGGGTCCAGTTTCTGCTTTCTGCACATGGCTAGCCAGTTTTCCCAATGCCATTTATTAAACAGGAAACTCTTTCCCCATTGCTTGTTTTTTGTCAGGTTTGTCAAAGACCAGATGGTTGTAGATATGTTGTGTTGCCTCTGAGGCCACTGTTCTGTTCCACTAGTCTATATCTGTTTTGGTACCAGTACCGTGCAATTTTGATTACTGTAGCCTCGTAGTATAGTTTGAAATCAGGTAGCATAATGCCCCAGCTTTGTCCTTTTTGCTTGGGATTGTCTTGGCTATGGGGGCTCTCTTTGGGTTACATATGAAGTTTAAGGTGTTTTTTTCCAGTTCTGTGAAGAAGGTCATTGATAGCTTCCTGGGGACAGCATTGAATCTATAAATTACTTTGGGCAGTATGGCCATTTTCACTATATTGATTCTTCCTAACCATGAGCATGGAATGTTTTTCCATCTGTTTGTGTCCTCTTATTTCCTTGAGCAGTGGTTTGTAGTTCTCCTTGAAGATGTCTGTTACATCCTTTGTTACTTGTATTCCTAGGTATTTTGTTCTCTTTGTAGCAATTGTGAATGGGAGTTCACTCATGATTTGGCTCTCTGTTAGTCTGTTATTGGTGTATAGGAATGCTTGTGATTTCTGCACATTGATTTTGTATTCTGAGACTTTGCTGAAGTTGCTTATCAGTTTCAGGAGATTTTGGGCTGAGACCATGGGGTCTTCTAAATATACAATCATTTTGTCTGCAAATAGAGACTCTCTAAAGAAGCTAATGTCTACCAGTATGTTTTAAGAAAGCCCTTAAACAAAGAAGGTAAGAAACCTAGGAACAAAGCACCCCAGATTCAGCATCTTGTGACTCCATGTGTCCTGTGGCACAAATGGTGGCATATTGCTCTGAAGAAGCAGTGTACTAAGAAAAATAAGAAAGACACTGCAGAATATGCTAAAGTTTTGGCCACAAGAATGAAGGAGGCTAAAGAGAAGCACCAGGAACTAATTGCAAAGAGATGCAGACTTTCCTCCCTGCGAGCTTCTACTTCTAAGTCTGAATTCAGTCAGAAATAAGATTTTCTGGGTAACAAATAAACAAGATCAGACTCATACAAAAAAATCTTTTTGAGATCCAGTTTCCATTATTTCGGGTAAATATCCAGACATAATATTGCTGGATCACACAAGTAATTTTTTTTTACTTAATTACAATTAAGTAACAGACTCCAGAATTGTTTAAACAAAATCCACAATTAAGTAATTGTATTCTTAATTTTCTGAGGAACCACCATACTTTTTTATAGTGGCTGTAGCATTTTATATTCCACCAAGAAGTCACCAAGTCTCAGTTTTTCCATATCTTCACCAACATTTGCTATTTTCTAGTTGTTGTTTGTTTTCTTTTTATAGTAGGTATCCTAATACCTATGACGAGGTGTGACGAGGTACCTCATGACAGTTTTGATTTGCATTTTCCTAATGATTTGTGATATTGAGCATTTTTTTTATGTGCTTCTTGGCTATTTGTGTATCCTCATTGCAGAATTTCTATTGAAACTCTTTGCCTATTTTTAAAGTTAGGATATTTGTTTTTGTTGTTGCTGAATTATAGGAATTCTTTATATATTCTGAATATTAATCTTTTTTCAGATATTTAACTTGCAATTCTTTTCTTTTATTCTATAGATTGCTTTTTCACTTGGTTGATTCAGTCCTTTGGTGCACAGATTTTTTTTTTTTTTTTCCTACATGGGGTTTCACTCTTGTTACCCAGGCTGGAGTGCAATGGCACGATCTCGGCTCACCGCAGCCTCCGCCTCCTTGGTTCAAGCAATTCTCCTGCCTCAGCCTCCCGAGTAGCTGGGACTACAGGCGCGCACCACCATGCCCAGCTAATTTTTTGTATTTTTAGTAGAGACAGGGTTTCACCTTGTTGACCAGGATGGTCTCGATCTCTTGACCTCGTGATCCACCTGCCTCAGCCTCCCAAAGTGCTGGGATTATAGGCGTGAGCCACCATGCTCGGCCGGTGCACAGATTTTTATTTCAATGTAGTCCAAATTATTTATATTTTCTTTTGTTGCCTGTTCGTTTGGTGTCATATTCAAGAACCTATTGCCATATCCAATGTTGTAAATCTTTTCCCCTATGTTTCTTTCTAAGAGGTTTATACTTTTAGCTCTTATACTTAGGTCTTTGATCCATTTTAGTGAATTGTTGTCTATGTTGTAAGCTAAAGGCCAAGTTTCATTCTTTTGGATGTAGACATCATTTTTCCCAAAACTGTTTGTTGAAAAGACTGTCCATTCCCTATTGATCTTAGAACCCTTGTCAAAAATCATTTGACCATACATATACAAAGTTGATTTCTGGGCTCTCTGTTTTGATCCATTGATCTCTATGTCTGTCTTTATCCCAGCACCATACTGTTTTGATTACAATAGCTTTGAAGTCAGGAAATGTAAGACCTCCAGCTTTGTTCTTTTTTCAAGATTATTTTGGCTATTTGGGGGTCCCTTGAGATTCCACATGAATTTTAGTGTGAATTTTTTTATTTCTAACAAAAACTCACCATTTGGATTTCAACAGAAATTGCATTTGATTGACAGATCTCTTTGGGTAGTACTGACATTGTAAAGATGTTAAGTCTTCCACTCCATAAACCCGAAAAGCCTTTTCATTTATTGATGTCTTTAATTTCGTTAAGCAGTGTTTTGTAGTTTTCAATGTATGTCTCTTCCCTTCTTGGTAAAGTTTATTTCTAAGTATTTTATTCTTTCTGATGCTGTTGTAAATGGATTTTATTTTATCGTCCTTTAGGTTCTGGGGTACATGTGTAGAATGTGCAGGTTTGTTACATAGGTATATACCTGCCATGGTGGTTTGATGCATCCATCATCCTGTCATCTACATTAGGTATTTCTCCTGTTATCCCTCCCCTAAGCACCACTGCCTGTTATCCCTCCCCTAAACACTCACCCTCCAACAGGCCCTAGTGTGTGATGTTCCCCTCCCTGCATCCATGTGTTCTCATTGTTCAACACACACTTATGAGTGAGAATGTGCAGTGCTTGGTTTTCTGTTCTGGTTTCAGTTTGCTGAGAATGATGGTTTCTAGCTTTATCCATGTCCCTGTAAAGGACCTGAACTCATCCTTTCTTATGGCAGCATAGTATTCCATGGTGTATATGTGCCACATTATCTTTATCCAGTCTATCTCTGATGGGAATTTGGGTTAGTTCCAAGTCTTTGCTCTTGTAAGCAGTGCCACAATAATCATTCATATGCATGTGTCTTTATAAATAGAATGATTTATAATCCTTTGGGTAGATATCCAGTAATGGGATTGCTGGGTCAAATGGCATTTCTATTTCTAGATCCTTGAGGAATCACCACACTGTCTTCTACAATGGTTGAACTAATTTACACTCTCACCAACAGTGTAAAAGCATTCCTATTTCTGCACATCCTCTCCAGCATCTGTCTCCAGATTTTTTAATAATCTTCATTCTAACTGGCATGAGATATTATCTCAACGTGATTTTGATTTACATTTCTCTAATGACCCATGATAATGAGCTTTTTTTCATATGTTTGCTGACTGCATAAATGTCTCCTTTTGAGAAGTGTCTGTTCATATTCTTTGCCCACTTTTTGATAATTTTTTTCTTGTAATTTTTTAAAGTTCTTTGTAGATTCTGGATATTAGCCCTTGTTAGATGGGTAGGTTGCAAAAGTTTTTTCTTATTCTGTTGGTTGCCAATTCACTCAAAAGATAGTTTCTTTTGCTATGCAGATACTCTTTATTTAATTAGATCCCATTTGTCTATTTTGGCTTTTGTTGCCATTGCTTTTGGTGTTTTAGTCATAAAGTCCTTGCCTATGCCTATGTCCTGAATGGTATTGCCTAGGTTTTCTTCTAGGGTTTTTATGGTGTTAGGTCTTATGTTTAAATCTTTAATCCATATGGTGTTAATTTTTGTATAAGCTGTAAGGAAGGGATCCAGTTTCAGCTTTCTGCATATGGCTAGCCAGTTTTCCCAATAGCATTTATTGAATAGGAATAGGGAATCATTTCCCCATTGTTTGTTTTTGTCAGGTTTTTCAAGGATCAGATGGTTGTAGATGTGTGGTGTTATTTCCAAGGCTTCTGTTCTGTTCCATTGGTTTTTAACTCTGTTTTGGTGTAGACGAATGCTTGTGATTTTTGCACATTGATTTTATATCCTGAGACTTTGCTGAAGTTGCTTATCAGTTTCAGGAGTTTTTGGGCTGAGGCGATGGGGTCTTCTAGGTATACTATCATGTCGTCTGCAAATAGAGACAATTTGGCTTCCATCTTTCCTATTTGAATACCCTTTATTTCTTTTTCTTGCCTGATTGCTCTGGCTAGAACTTCCAGTACTATATTGAATAGGAGTGGTGAAAGAGGGCATCCTTGTCTAGTGCCAGATTTCAAAGGGAATGCTTCCAGTTTTTGCCCATTCAGTATGATATTGGCTGTTGGTTTGTCATAAATAGCTTTTATTACTTTGAGATACATTCCACCGATACCGAGTTTATTGAGGGTTTTTAGCATAAAGGGCTGTTGTATTCTGTCAAATGCCTTCTCTGCGTCAATTGAGATAATCATGTGGTTTTTGTTTTTGGTTCTGTTTATGTGGTGAATTACGTTTATAGACTTGCATATGTTGAACCAGCCTCACATCCCCGGGATGAATCCTACTTGATCATGATGGATAAGTTTTTTGATTTGCTGTTGCAATCGGCTTGCCAGTATTTTATTGAAGATTTTTGCATCTATGTTCATCATGGATATTGGCCTGAAGTTTTCTTTTCTTGTTGGGTCTCTGCCGGGTTTTGGTAACAGGATGATGTTGGTCTCATAAAATAATTTGGGAAGGATTCCCTCTTTTTTGGATTATTCGGAATAGTTTCAGAAGGAATGGTACCAGTTCCTCTTTGTGTGTCTGGTAGAATTCGGTTGTGAACCCATCTGGACCTGGACTTTTTTTGTGTGGTAGGCTCTTAATTGCTGCCTCAACTTCAGACCTTGTTATTGGTCTATTCATAGTTTCAGCTTCCTCCTGGTTTAGGCTTGGGAGGACACAGGTGTCCAGGAATTTATCCATTTCTTCCAGGTTTACTAGTTTATGTGCATAGAGTTGTTTGTAATGTTCTCTGATGATGGTTTGAATTTCTGTGGAATCTGTGGTGATTTCCCCTTTATCGTTTTTTATTGCATCTATTTGGTTGTTCTCTCTTTTCTTTTTTTATCAGTCTGGCTAGTGGTCTATTTTGTTGATCTTTTCAAAAAACCAGCTCTTGATTTTTCGTAGGGTTTTTCGTGTCTCTATCTCCTTCAGTTCTGCTCTGATCTTAGTTATTTCTTGTCTTCTGCTGGGTTTTGAGTTTTTTTAATCTTGCTTCTCTAGCTCTTTCAATTTTGATGATAGGGTGTCAATTTTGGATTTCTCCACTCTTCTCATATGGGCACTTATTGCTATATATTTTCCTCTAGAGACTGCTTTAAATGTGTCCCAGAGATTATGGTATGTTGTGTCTCTGTTCTCGTTGGTTTCAAAGAACTTCTTTATTTCTGCCTTAATTTCATTGTTTATCCAGTCAACATTCAGGAGCCAGTTGTTCAGTTTCCATGAAGCTGTGCGGTTCTGGGTTAGTTTCTGAATTCTGAGTTCTACCTTGATTGCACTATGGTCTGAGAAACTGTTTGTTCTGATTTCCGTTGTTTTGCATTTGCTGAGGAGTGCTTTACTTCCAATTATGTGGTCAATTTTAGAGTAGGTGTGATGTGGTGCTGAGAAGAATGTATATTCTTTGGATTTGGGGTGGAGAGTTCTGTAGATGTCTATCAGGTTTGCTTGTTCCAGGTCTGAGTTCAAGCCCTAGATATCCTTGTTAATTTTCTGTCTGGTTGATCTGTCTAATATTGACAGTGGAGTGTTAAAGTCTCCCACTATTATTGTGTGGGAGTCTAAGTCTCTTTGTAAGCCATTAAGAACTTGCCTTATATATCTGGGTGCTCCTGTATTGGGTCCATATATATTTAGAATCATTAGCTCTTCTTGTTGTATCGATCCTTTTACCATAATGTAATGACCTTCTTTGTCTCTTCTGAGCTTTGTTGCTTTAAAGTCTATTTTATCAGAGATGAGAATTGAAACTCCTGCTTTTTTTTTTTTTGCTCTCCATTTGCTTGGTAAATCTTCCTCCATCCCTTTATTTTGAGCCTTTGTGTATCCCTGCATGTAAGATGGGTTTCCTGGATACAGCACACTGATGGGTTTTGATTTTTTATCCAATTTGCCAGTCTGTGTCTTTTGATTGGTGCATTTAGCCCATTTACATTTAGGGTTAATCTTGTTATGTGTGAATTTGATACTGCCATTTTGATGCTAGCTGGCTGTTTTGCCTGTTAGTTGTTGTAGATTCTTCATTTTGTTGATGCTCTTTAGCATTTAGTGTGCTTTTGGAATGGCTGGTACTGGTTGTTCCTTTCTATGTGTAGTGCCTCTTTCAGGAGCTCTTGTAAAGCAGGCCTGGTGGTGACAAAATCTCTGAGTACTTGCTTGTTCACAAAGGATTTTATTTTTCCTTCACTTATGAAGCTCAGTTTGGCTGGATATGTAATTCTGGGTTGAAAGTTCTTTTCTTTAAGGATGTTGAATATTGGCCCCCACTCTCTTCTTGCTTGTAGAGTTTCTGCCGAGAGATCTGCTGTGAGTCTGATGGGCTTCCCTTTGTGTGTGACCTGACCTTTCTCTCTGGCTGCCCTTAGTATTTTCTCCTTCATTTCAACCCTGGTGAATCTGACGATGATGTGCCTTGGGGTTGCTCTTCTTGCAGAGTATCTTTGTGGTGTTCTCTGTATTTCCTGGATTTGAGTGTTGGTCTGCCTTGCTAGGTTGGGGAACATTTCCTGGATAATATCCTGAAGAGTATTTTTCAGTTTGAATTTGTTCTCTTCGTCACATTCAGGTACACCTATCAAACGTAGGTTAGGTCTCTTCACATAGTCCCACATTTCTTGGAGACTTTGTTCATTCCTTTTTGCATTTTTTTCTCTAATCTTGGTTTCTCGTTTTATTTCATTGAGTTGATCTTCGACTTCTGATATTCTTTCTTCTGCTTGGTCAATTCGGCTGTTGAAACTTGTGCATGCTTCGCGAAGTTCTCGTGTTGTGTTTTTCAGCTCCTTCAATTCATTCATATTCCTTTCTAAGTTATCCATTCTGTTATCATTTCCTCGAATCTTTTTTCAAGGTTCTTAGTTTCTTTGCATTGATTTAGAACATGTTCTTTTAGCTCACAGAAGTTTCTCATTACCCACCTTCTGAAGTCTGATTCCATCATTTCGTCACACTCATTCTCCGTCCAGCTTTGTTCCCTTGCTGGTGAGGAGTTTTGGTCCTTTGTAGGAGGCGAGGTGTTCTGGTTTTGGGTGCTTTCCTCCTTTTTGCGCTGGTTTCTTCCCATCTTTGTGGATTTATCTACCTGTCATCTGAGTAGTTGCTGACTTTTCAATTGGGTCTCTGAGTGGACGCCCAGATTGTAGATGATGAGGTATTTCTGTCACTTGGTTTTCCTTCTACCAGTCTAGCCCCTCTGCTGTATGACTGCTGAGGTCCACTCCAGGCCCTGCTTGTCTGGGGTACACCTGTAGCAGCTGCAGAACAGTGAGGGATGCTACCAGTTCCTTCTTCTGCTATCTTTGTCCCAGAATGATGCCCACCTAATATCAGTCTGATCAGTCATTTTTGAGGTGATTCTGGATATACAGGGGTCAGGGAGCTCCTTGAGGAGACGGTCTGTACTTTATAGGAGCTCAAGTGCTGAGCTATGAGCTCTGTTGTTCATTCAGGGCTGTTAGGCTGCTACATTTATGTCTGCTGCAGCAGAACTCTTAAAACCCCTTTTTTTCCTCATGCTCTGTCTCAGGGAGTTGGGGCTTTCTTTATGAGTGTCCATTGCACTATCCTGCCCAGCTAGGAGGCAGTCTAGTCACTATTTGCCTGCCGAGGCTCTGCCCTGCTGATGTGGGGTCCGCCCTGTTGCTGCGGGCTCTGCCCCGCAGCCGCGGGCTCCACTGTGGGCTCCGCCCTGCTGCCATGCGCTCCGCCCTGCAGCGGAGTCTCTCTGTTATGGCGGGTTGCCTCGGCAATGGCAGGCTGCATCAGCAATGGGAGTGTACCTCAGTAGGGGTGGATTGCCTTGGTAATGGCAGACGCCCCTCCCCCACCGAGTTGCACCATCCTGGGTTCAGCTGTGGCCGCAGTGAAACTCTCCACCCAGAGCATTTCAAATTGCCGTTTTGTTTGTCCCTGTGGGGGTGAAACCCACCGAGCCTGCTCGCCTGACCCGTGCCTCAGAGTGCCTTTTTTTTTTTTTTTTTTTTTTTTTTTTTAAGTTGAACGGATGGCTTTCTCCCAGGTGTTTTGGTCGCCTGCTGTTAGGGCACCGGGATCTGTGTGATTTCCCGTGCAGTGAGCCACTGCGCTGGCTCAAACGCCACTTCCCAGGAATCTCCTGGTCTGGCTCACTGTCAAGTCCCGTTTAATCAGATGGATATGCTAATCTGCCCTCCCAAATCTCAAATTGCCAGTTTAGCAGGGCACCCGGGCCAGTGTGTTTTGTGCGGATTGTTGCGGAGTGCCGCTGCGCTGCGGCATCGGTTGAAGCGGCCGCAACTGCCAAAAGGGCTGCGCTTGCATCCCGTGTCTCTCCTACACCTGGCAATTTCCCCGTTCTGTGGGCAACAAAGATCCGTCTGGAAATGCGGCTTTGACTCACCCTCTGAGCGTTCACTGAAAGCTGCGATCCTGAGTTGTTCTTACCGCGCCATCTTGAATCCTCCTCCTTGTGTGAGTTTCTTAATCCTGACTTCTAATTTGATTGCTTGGTAGTCTGAGAGACTGTTTGTTATAATTTCTGTTCTTTTGCATTTGCTGAGGAGTATTTTACTTTCAATTATGTGGTAAATTTTAGAATAAGTGCATGTGGTGCTGAGAAGAATGTATATTCTGTGGATTTAGGATGGAGAGTTCTGTACCTATCTATTAGGTTTGCTTGGTCCAGATCTGAGTTCAAGTCCTGGATATCCTTGTTAATTTTCTGTCTCATTGATCTAATATTGACAGTGGAGTGTTAAAGTGTCCCACTATTATTGTGTGGGAATCTAAGTCTCTTTGTAGTTCATTAAGAACTTACTTTATGTATCTGGGTGCTCCTGTATTGGGTGCAAGTATATTTAGGATAGTTAGCTCTTCTTGTTGCATTGATCCCTTTACCATTATGTAATGTCCTTTTTTGTTTCTTTTGATCTTTGTTGGTTTAACATCTGTTGTATCAGACACTAGGATTCCTGCTTTTTTTTTGCTCTCCATTTGCTTGGTAAATCTTCCTCCATCCCTTTAATTTGAGCCTATGTGTGTCTTTGTATGTGAGACAGGTCTCCTGAATACAGCACACCAATTGGTCTTTATCCAACTTACCGATCTGTGTCTTTTGATTGGGGCATTTATTCCCATTTACATTTAAGGTTAATATTGTTATGTGTGAATTTGATACTGCCATTTTGATGCTAGCTGGTTGTTTTGCTCATTTATTGGAGCAGTTTCTTCATGTGTCTTTACACTATGGTCTTTACAATTTGATATGTTTTTGCAGTGGCTGGTACTGGTTGTTCCTTTCCATATTTAGTGCTTCCTTCAGGAGCTCTTGTAAGGCAGGCATGGTGGTGACAAAATCTCTCAACAATTGCTTGCTGGTAAAGGATTTTATTTCTCCCTTGCTTATGAAATTTAGTTCGGCCGGATATGAAATTCTAGGTTGCAAATTCTTTTCTTTAAAGATGTTGAATATTGGGTCCCACTTTCTTTTGGATTGTATAGTTTCTGCTGAGAAATCTGCTATTAGTCTGATGGGCGTCCCTTTGTGGGGAACCCGACCTTTCTCTCTGGCTGCTCTTAGCATTTTTTCCTTCAGTTCAACCATGGTGAATCTGATGATTATGTGTCTTCGGGTTGCTCTTCTCGAGGAATATCTTTGTGGTGTTCTTTTTCCTGAATTTGAATGTTGGCCTCCTTGCTAGGTTGGGGTAATTCTCCTGGATAATATCCTGAAGGGTATTTTCCAACTTGGTTTCATTCTGTCACTTTCAGGAACACCAATCAAATGTGGATTTGGACTTTTCACATAATCCCATATTTCTTGGAGGCTTTGTTAATTTCTTTTCATTCTTTTTTCTCTAATCTTGCCTTATTGCTTTATTTCATTGAGTTGATCTTCAATCTCTGATATCCTCTCTTCTGCCTGATTGATTCAGCTATTGAAACTTGTTTATGCTTCACGACTTTCTCATGCTGTGTTTCTCAGCTCCGTCAAATTGTTTATGTTCTTCTCTATGCTGGTTATTCTAGTTAGCATTTCATCTGACCTTTTCTCAAGGTTCTTAGCTTCCTGGCATTGGATTAGAACACGCTCCTTCAGCTTGAAGTTTGTTATTACCCACCTTCTGAAGCCTGCTTCTGTCAATTTGTCAAACTCATTCTCCATCCAGTTTTGTTTTTTAGATGGTGAGGAGTTGTGATCCCTTGGAGGAGAAGAGCTGTTCTGGTTTTGGGGGATTTCAGCCTTTTGCACTGGTTTCTTCCCATCTTTGTGGAGTTATCTACTTTTGGTCTTTGAAGTTGGTGACCTTTGCATGGGGTGTGTGAGTGGACATTCTTTCTGTAGATGTTGGAACTATTTGTTTCTGTTTGTTAGTTTTCCTTCTAACAGGCTCCTCTGCTGCAGGCCTGTTGGAGTTTGCTGGAGATCCACTCTAGACCCTGTTTGGCTGGGAGTCACCACAAGGGGCTGCAGAGCAGCAAAGATTGCTGCCTGTTCCTTCCTCTGGTAGCTTTGTTTCAGAAGGGTACCTGCCAGATGCCCACCAGAGCTCTCCAGTATGAGGTGTCTTTCAGCCCCTGTGGGAAATGTCTCCCAGTCAGGATACATGGGGGTCAGGGAGCCACTTGAGAAGTCAGTCGGTCCCTTATCAGAGCTCGAGCACTTTATTGGGATATTCGTAGCTCCCTTCAGAACTGCCAGTCAGGGACATTTAAGTCTGCTGAAGGTGAACCCACAACTGTCCCTTTTCCCAGGTGCTCTGTCCCAGGAAGGTGGGGCTTTATTTATAACTCCCTGACATGCTGCTGCCTTTTTTCAGAGATGTCATACCCAGCAAGAAGGGAGTATGGTGATAGTCTGCCTGCAGAGGCCTTGCTGAGATGCCATGGGCTCTGCCCAGTTGCTGTATAAACTTCCGGGAGACTTTGTTTACACAGGCGAGGTGAAAACCACCTACCCGAGCCTCAGCAATGGTGGATACCCCTCCCCACATTGAGCTTGAGACTGCTGTGCTGGCTATGAGAATTTCAAGCCAGTGGATCTTAGCTTGCTGGACTTCATGCAGGTGGGACCCACCAAGCCACCAAGCTTGGCTCCCTGGCTTCAGCTCCTTTGTTTGGGGGAATGAGCAGTTAGTTCTGTCTCACTGGCATTCCAGGTACCACTGGGATATGAGAAAAAACACTGCTGTAGATAAAACAGCTGCCCAGTTTTGTGCTGGAAACCTGGGGCGCTGATGTTGTAGGCACTGGAGGGAATCTACTGACGTGCAGGTTGTGAAGACTGTGGGAAAAGCGCAGTATCTAAGCCAGTGTGCCAGTGTGTCAGGAAAAGTCCCTAATGGCTTCCGTTGGCTAGGAGATGGAGTTCTTTGGCCCCTTGCCTTCCCAGGTAAGGTAACAACCTGCCCTGCTTCAGCTCACCCTCTTTGGGCTACACCCACTCTTTAACCAGTCCCAGTGAAATGAACCTGATACCTGAGTTGGAAATGCAAAGATCACCCAGCTTCTGTGTCACTCTTGCTGGGAACTGCACCCTGGAGCTGTTCCTATTTGGCCATCTTGGTGGCTAAATGAATTTTTTTCCCTTAATTTCCTTTTCAGACTGCACATGGTTAGTATATAGAAACAACTGATTTTTGTGTGCTGATGCTGTATCTTGCAACTTTGCTAAATTTGTCTTGAACTCCTGACCTCAAGCGATTCTCCCAGCTCAGCCTCCCAAAGTGCCTGGGATTACAGGCATGAGCCATTATGTCCAGCCATGCTAAATTTATTAGTTCTAGCAGCTTTTCTCGTGGAATGTTTAGTGGTTGCTACATATCAAATCATGCCATTTGTGAACAGGGATAATTTTACTTCTTCCATTCTAACTTGAATGCCTTCAGTTTGTTTCTTACTTAACAAATTTGGCTAGTGCTTCAAGTATTTTGTTGAATAGAAGTGGTAAAATAGATATACTTGTCTTCTGCCTAATCCAGCAGAAAGTTTTCAGTCTTTCATTAATGGAAATGATGCATGTGGCCTTTTCATATGTGGCCATTATTATGTTCCTTCTGTTCTTTTTTTTTTTTTTTTGGAGACAGAGGCTTGCTCTGTCACCAGGCTGGAGTGCAGTGGTGCGATCTTGGCTCACTGCAACCTCCGCCTCCCAGGTTCAAGCAATTCTCCTGCCTCGGTCTCCTGAGTAAGTGGGACTACAGACACATGTCACCACACCCAGCTAATTTTTGTATTTTTAGTAGAGATGGGGTTTCACCAGGTTGGCCAGGATGGTCTCACCTGGTGATCCGCTCGCCTCAGCCTCCCAAAGTGCTAGGATTACAGATGAGAGCCACTGCACCTGGCCTCTATTCTTAATCTATTGAGGGTTTTTTGAGATGGAGTTTTGCTCTTGTTGCCCAGGCTAAAGTGCAATAACTCTATCTCAGCTCATTGCAACCTCCGCCTCTTGGGTTCAAGCAATTCTCCTGCCTCAGCCTCCTGAGCAGCTGGGACTACAGGCATGTGCCACCATGCCCAGCTAATTTTTTTTTTTTTTTGTATTTTTAGTAGAAACAGGGTTTCACCATGTTGACCAGGATGGTCTCGATCTCTTGACCTCGTGATCCACCCTCCTCAGCCTCCCAAAGTGCTGAGATTATAGGCATGAGCCACCGCGCCCAGCCGGGGTTTTTTTTGTTTTCTGATGCTTTTTTCTGCATTGGTTGAGATAATCAATCGTAGTCTTTTTTTTCCTCTTCATTCTGGTGATGTGATATACATTGGTTGATTGTCATCTGCTGAATCATCCTTGCATTCCAGGAATAAATCTTATTTGATTATGGTTTATAATCCTTTTAATGTGCTATTGAATTCTACTTGCTAGTATTTTGATGAGAATTTTTACACTAATATTCATCAGATATATTGGCCTATAGTTTTCTTGTAGTGTCTTTGCTTTTCTTTGGTATCAAGGTAACACTGCCCTCATAGAATGAGTTTGGAAGTGCTCCTGAATCTTCCGTTTTTTGGAAGAATTCTTTTTTTTTTTTTCAGATGGAGTTTCACTCTTGTTGCTCAGGCTGGAGTGCAATGGTGCCATTTCAGCTCACTGCAACATCTGCCTTCAAGCAATTCTCCTGCCTCAGCCTTCGTAGTAGCTGGGATTACAGGCATGCACCACCATGCTTCTCAAATTTTGTTTTTTTGGTAGAGATGGGGTTTCTCCACCTTGGTCAGACTGGTCTCAAACTCCCAGCCTCAGCTGATCTGGCTGCCTTGGCCTCCCAAAGTACCGGGATTACAGGTATGAGCCACCAAGCCTGGCAATTTTTGGATAATTTGAAGACAATTTGTCTTTGACAATTATTCCTTTAATGTTTGGTAGAATTCACCAGTGAATCCATGTGTCCTGGGCTTTTCATTATTGGGAGACTTTTGATCAGTGATTCAACCTCCTTACCAGTTAGAGATCTGTTCAGATTATTTATTTCTTCTGATTCAATCTTGGTAGGTTGTGTTTTTCTAGGAATTTGTCAATTTAATCTAGATTAACCAAGGTGTTGGCATACAATTCTTGAAAATACTCGCTTTTAATTCTTTTTATTTTTATAAAATTGATAATTATATTCCTCTTTTCTAATTTTCATTATTTGAGTATTTTTTTCTTACTCTGTCCATTTTCTTGATGTTTTAATAAAGTAACTCTTGGTTTCATTGATTTTCTCTTATTGCTTTTCTATTCTTGGTTTTGTTTTTCTTTGCTCTAATCTATATTATTACCTTAATTTTTCTAACTCTGGGTTTATTCTTCTTTTCTAGTTCCTTAATGTATTAAGTCAGATTGTAGATTTGAGATATTTCTTCTTATTATTTTTTTCTGTGATAACAGATTAATTTTAATTCTAGACCCGAAGCTGTATAAGGGTACAGGTCTTTAGACATTGTATAAATGTGTGTAATACCACTTAAAACCTCAAAAAAGGAACAGACTTTAGAATTGTTTAAACACAATCCACAGAATTAAAAACAAAACCAGAAGCCATTCACAGTTATACTATTGTCAATGAAAAGTTTCACACTTAATACTTGATATAACAGTCAATATCTGGTGGGATTGCATAGTCTCATCCTTTTGTACTGGCCACGTACTGGTCTTGTGCATACAACCAGATCAGACCAGCAAGTAAAAGTTCTGCCACAGCACCGGTAGTTTCCACTTCGTTTGCTTTGTCAGTTAAAAGTGAAGAGTGAAAATTAAATACTTGTCTTTGCATAGGCACAAGTATGCTGTGAAAGCACATTTGCTTACATACATATAAAATATTATTTGATAAGAAAATAATGTGTAAAAGTTTATAGCAAAAGCATGAATCATCTCTGACCCTAGAAAGACCAATTCCATATATTCCATTACTGTTATGTCATATAGTTTCCATTTTTTTTGAATCCCTTATCCAGAAATACTTGAAAAGACAGGCAGAAATTATTCATTTTTAACCTTAGCATGGCTGTGAAAAGAGTTAATTTAAAAAAAAAAACATCAAATATACTGAAATGCTTAAGTTTAGAATGAGTTGAAGTATTTGACCAGGTAGAATATTATCATCTTCAAGAGCGGGAGTAGTAACACAGGCTTTTGTAAGCAGTTTTTAATCCATAAATACAATAGGCATTTTGATACTGAGATGTCTCACTTCTGTAGATTCAATTCTGTGTATTTAAAGTTCGCTAAAGCTGACATTAAAAATTTTTAAATAGTCCAAAAAAATCACATTAAAAATCCATATATTTGTATTTGGAGTAACAGTAGACCACATGATTCCAGAAGTTAAAATTATTTCACAGCCTGTGGCTTTGGCTTGGCAAATGACCTAGGTTCCCAAGATGTTTTGACTCTATTACAATGTAAGCACTTAAAAAAGAACGTGTCTGTGTATATATAGATATATATTTTAAAGGAATCTGATAATCTATGAAACAGCCTTAACGTTTCCTTTAAATTTGCCTGGAAATGACCATTGCATTAGCTTCATGGAAAGAACTAGCCAGCGTCTTGTTCTAAAGCTAACAGGGTCATTATTTGTCTAAGGCTAGAATGGTACCAACAAGATGTAAACTGTAAGGAGAGGAGGAGGAGATGAGGCCTTTTCCTGGCATTTGGTAGGTAATACTCAAGGGATTCTAGAAAAATGACACAATGTTACTGCTCCTTATCTTTTTCTTTCCTCATTGGTTCTGGTGAAGGAGGACATTTCTGCTCTTGAAATTTCCTTATAACCCAGAGATGTTCATAGAAAGCTTGAGACCGGTTGTGATGGCTCATGCCTGTAATCTCAGCACCTTGGAAGGCCAAGACAGGAGGATCACTTGAGCCCAGGTGTTCAAGCAGCCAGGGCAACATAGTAAGACCCCATCTCTTAGAAAAAAGCTGAGCCTGGTGGGGCAAGCCTGTGATTCCAGCTACACCAGAAGTTGAGGGGAGAGGATCACTTAAGCCTAATAGTTCAAGGCTGCACTGAATTATGATCACACTACTGCACTCCAGCCAGGGTGTCAGTGAAGACCTTGTTTAAAAAAAAAAAAAAAAAGGCACACACTGCATTCATCCTAATCTTTGCTGATGCCTCCATATATATTACCCTAGGTTATTGTGCTAATTGCTGTCCTTCCTGTCTCTGATGATCCAGAGGTGCTTTATTACCCATTAAAATCATTGAAAACTCACCATGCTCCTTTACTCTAAGGAGAATCTATCTTTGGAATTGATAGGTTTCCTCAAAACTGCCTCTATCTTTGCCTGAAAAGACCAACAGGAAACTTACCAGTCCTCACACACCGTTGCCTCATGGCTGCAAACTCTTCTTGTCCTGTTGTCTGCAAAATACCTAGCCGGGTTGCTCTGTCATCTAGCATACACTGCTCTGTGTTCGAATCTTAAATGGTTGGATCACAATTCATTAAAAATAGGACTGGGCTGGGCGTGGTGACTCACACCTGTAATCCCAGCACTTTGGGTGGCTGAGGTGGGCGAATCATAAGGTCAGGAGTTCAAGACTAGCCAGCCAACGTGGTGAGACACCATCTCTAATACAAATACAAAAAATTAGCCAGGCATGGTGGTGGGCACCTGTAATCCCAGCTACCGGGGAGGCTGAGGCAGGAGAATCTCTTGAACCCGGGAAGCAGAGGTTGCAGATCATGCCAGGTGACGGTGCGAGAATCCGACTCAAAAAAAAAATAAAAACGAAAAAGACTGGAGGAACTGGATGCATCAATTTCCAGCAGGGGAGGGGCTCTCGGGCACCAGGATTTGTCAGAAGGGCTGGTCCTAGGGCAGCATGGTACCTGGGGCTGGCTGGGTCTTGCCCCAGGCACAGAGAAGTGTGTTGATTACCAGGGCCCCGGGCAGCGGGTGAGGGTGGGGGTGCTCCTCTATGCCTCTCTGCAGCACAGCTACCTATGCACATAAGAAAACACAGCACTGTTTTCTTAATTTTTATTTTAGGTTAAGTGGTACATGTACTGGTCTGTTATATAGGTAAATCGCATGTCCCAGGGGTTTGCTGTGCAGATAATTTTGTCACTAGGACAATAAACATAGCACACAATAGATAGTTTTTTACCCTGACCCTCCTCCTACCCTCTACCCCCAAGTATGCCCCAGAATCTGTTGTTTTCTTCGTTGTGTCCGTGTGTACTTGATGTTTAGCTACCACTTATAAGTGAGAACATGTGGTATTTGGTTTTCTGTTCCTATGTTAATTAACTTAGAATAACGTCCTCCAGTTCCATTCATTTTCCTGCAAAGGACATGACTGTATTTCTTTTTAATGGCTGCATAGTATTCCATGGTGTATGTGTGCCACTTTTTAAAATTATTATATTTTAAGTTCTGGGGTACATGCACAGAACATGCAGGTTTGTTACATAGGTATACACGTGCCATGGTGATATGCTGTACCCATCAACCCATCAGCTATATTAGGTATTTCTCCTAATGCTATCCCTCTCCTGGCCCCAAACTCATGACAGGCTCTGGTGTGTGATGTTCCCATCCCTGTGTCTCGCATTCTCATTGTTCAACTCCCACTTATGAGTCAAAACATGTGGTGTTTGGTTTTCTGTTCCTGTGTTAGTTTGCTGAGAATGATGGTTTCCAGCTTCATCCATGTCCCTGCAAATGATCTAACTCATTCTTTTTTTTTGGAGACAGTTTTCCTTTTGTTACCCACGCTGGAGTGCAATGGCGCGATCTTGGTTCACCGCAACCTCCGCATCCTGGGTTCAGGCAATTCTCCTGCCTCAGCCTCCTGAGTAGCTGGGATTACAGGCATGTGCCACCATGCCCAGCTAATTTTTTGTATTTTTAGTAGAGACGGGGTTTCACCGTGTTGACCAGGATGGTCTCGATCTCTTGACCTCGTGATCCACCCGCCTCAGCCTCCCAAAGTGCTGGGATTACAGGTGTGAGCCACCGCGCCCGGCCCCTAACTCATTCTTTTTTATGGCTGCATAATATTCCATGGTGTATATGTGCCACATTGTCTTTATCCAGAAAGTCTATTATTCATGGGCATTTGGGTTGGTTCCAAGTCTTTGTTACTGTGAACAGTGCCACAGTAAACATAGGTGTGCATGTGTCTTTATAGAATGATTTATAATCCTTTGGGTATATACGCAGTAATGGGATTGCTGGGTCAAATGGTATTTCTGGTTCTAGATCCTTGAGGAATCAAAACACTGTCTTCCACAATGGTTGAACTATTTTACACTCCCACCAACAGTGTAAAAGCATTCCTATTTCTCCACATCCTCTCCAGCATCTGTTATTTCCTGACTTTTTAATGATCACTATTCTAACTGATGTGAGATGGTATCTCATTGTGGTTTTGATTTGCATTTCTTCAATGACCCATGATGATGACCTTTTTTTCATATGTTTCTTGGCCACATAAATGTCTTCTTTTTTTTTTTAAATTTTTTATTGGATTTTAGGTTTTGGGGTACATGAGCAGAGCATGTAAGACAGTTGCGTAGGAACACACATGGCAGTGTGCTTTTCTTTCCTTCTCCCCTTCACCCACATTTGGCATTTCTCCCCAGGCTATCCCTCCCAACTCCCCCTCCCACTGGCCCTCCCCTTTTCCCCCCGATAGACCCCAGTGTTTAGTACTCCCCTTTCTGTGTCCATGTGTTCTCATTTTTCATCACCCACCTATGAGTGAGAATATGCGGTGTTTCATTTTCTGTTCTTCTTTTGAGAAGGGTCTGTTCATATCCTTTGCCTACTTTTTGATGGAGTTGTTGGTTTTTTTCTTGTAAATTTAAGTTCTTTATAGATTCTGGATATTAGCCCTTTGTTAGATGGATAGAGTGCAAACATTTTCTCCTGTTCTGTAGGTTGCTTGTTCATTCTGATGACAGTTTCTCTTGCTGTGCAGAAGCTCTTTAGTTTAATTAGATCCTATTTGTCTATTTTGGCTTTTGGTGCCATTGCTTTTGGTGTTTTAGTCATGAAGTCTTTGCTCATGTCTATGTCCTGAATGGTATTGCCTAGGTTTTCTTCTAGGGTTTTTATGGTGTTAATTTTTGTGTTAATTAACTCCATCTGGAGTTAATTTTTGTGTAAGGTGTAAAGAAGGGATCCAGCTTTCTGCATATGGCTATCCAGTATTTTCCCAACATCATTTATTGAATTGGGAATCATTTCCCCATTGCTTGTTTTTGTCATATTTGTCAAAGATCAGATGGTTATGGATGTGTGGTGTTATTTCTGAGGCCTCTGTTCTGTTCCGTTGGTTTATATATCTATTTTGGTACCAATGCCATGCTGTTTTTGTTACTGTAGGCTTGTAGTATACTTTGACGTCAGGTAGTGTGATGCCTCCAGCTTTGTTCTATTTGCTTAGGATTGTCCTGGCAATGCAGGCAGGCTCTTTTTTGGTTCCACATGAAGTTTAAAGTAGTTTTTCCAGTTCTGTGAAGAAAATCAATGGTAGCTTGATGGGGCAGTATGGCCATTTTCATGATACTGATTCTTCCCATCCATGAGCATAGAATATTTTTCCATTTGTTTGTGTCCTCTCTTATTTCCTTTAGCAGTGGTTTGTAGTTCTCTTGAAGAGGTCCTTCACATCCCTTGTAAGTTGTATTCCTAGGTATTTTCTTCTCTTTGTAGCAATTGTGAATGGGAGTTCACTCATGATTTGGCTCCCTTTTTTGTCTATTATTGGTGTATAGGAATGCTTGTGTTCTTTGCACATTGATTTTATATCCTGAGTCTTTGCTGAAGTTGCTCATCAGCTTAAGGAGATTTTGGGCTGAGATGATGGGTCTCCTGAATACAGCACACTTATGGGTCTTGACTTTATCCAATTTGCCAGTCTGTCAGCCCCTATTGGGAGGTGACTTTCAGTCAGGATACAGGAGGTCAAGGACCCATTTAAGGAGGCAGTCTGTCCCTTATCAGAGCTCAAATGCTGTGTTCAGAGCTCCCATGCTCCCTTCAGAGCGGTCAGGCAGGGACATTTAAGTCTGCTGAAGCTGTGCCCACAGTCACCCCTTCCCCCAGGTGCTCTGTCGCAGGGAGATGGGGGTTTCATTTATAACTTCCTGACTGGGGCTGCTGCATTTTTTTTTTTTTTTTTCAGAGATTCCCTGTCCAGGAAGGAGGAATCTACACAGGCAGTTTGGCCACAGACCCCTTGCTGAGCTGCAGTGAGCTCCACCCATTTAACTTCCTAGTGACTTTGTATACACTGTGAGGGGAAAACCACCTACTCAAGTCTCAGCAATGATGGACGCCCCTTCCTCCACAAAGCTCAATCATCCCAGGTTGACCTCAGACTGCTGTGCTAGTGGCGAGAATTTCAAGCCAGTGGATCTTAGCTTGCTGGGCTCCATGGGGGTGAGATATGCTGAGCCAGACCACTTGGCTCCCTGGCTTCAGCCCCCATTCCAGGTGAGTGAAGTATTCTGTCTCAGTGGCATTCCAGGTACCACTGGGATTTGAAAAAAAAACAAACAACAACTCCTGCTGCTAGTTCAGTGTCTGCCCAAAAGGCCCCCCAGTTTTGTGCTTGTAACCCAGGGTCCTGGTGGTATGGGCACCAGAGGGAATCTCCTGGTCTGCCAGTTGTGAAGACTGTGGGAAAAATGCAGTATCTGGGCTGGAAAGCACCGTTCTTCCCATTACAGTCTCTCATGGCTTCCCTTGGCTAGGAGAGGCCCCTTGGGCTTCCTGGGTGAGGCAATGGCTCACCCTACTTCAGCTTGCCCTCTGTGGGCTACACTCACCGTCCAACCAGTCCCAATGAGATGAAAAGCATACCTCAGTCGGAAATGCAGAAATCACCCACCTTCCACATCAATCACTTTGGGAGGTTCAGACCAGAGCTGTTCCTATTTGGCCATCTTGCCAGTCTATCACTGATGGGCATTTAGGTTGATTCCATGTCTTTGCTATTGTAAGTAAAGCCATTGTGGATAGCAGTTTGGCAATTTCTGAAATAACTTAAAACAGAATTTCTATTTGACTCAGCAATCGCATTATTTACCCAAAGGAATGTAAATCATTCTATCATAAAGACACAGGCACACATATGTTCACTGGGGCACTTCTTTTTTGATGGAAACGTTTTTAGCTATGAGATTCCCTCTTAGCATTATTTTGCTGCATCCCATCAGTTGGTATTTTTTTCTCTTTTTTAAATTTTTAAATTTTACTTTAGGTGTATACTATATCCAGCATTTCTCCCCATGTTATCCCTCCCTGCCCTCCCCACTCCCCACTGTCCCTCCCCTACCTACCCCAACTGTGTGTGATGCTCCTCTCTGAGTCCACGTGTTCTCATTGTTCAATACCCACCTATGAGTGAGAACATGCGGTGTTTGGTTTTCTGTTCTTGTGTCAGTTTGCTGAGAATGATGGCTTCCAGATTCATCCAAGTCCCTACAAAGGACATGAACTCATCGTTTTTTATGGCTGCATAAAAAATGGAGTTTTTTTTTTTTTTCCAAACCTTGGTGGTACCTGGAATGCCAGTGAGACAGTATTCCATGGTGTATGTGTACCACATTTTCTTTGTCCAGTCTATCATTGATGAGCATTTAGGTTGGTTCCAGGTCTTTGCTATTGTACACAGGGCTGCAATGAACATACGTGTGCTTGTGTCTTTATAGTAGAACGATTTATAGTTCTTTGGGTATATACCCAGTAATGGAATTGCTGGGTCAAATGAAATTTCCATTTCTAGATCTTTGAGAAATAGCCTTCCACACTGTCTTCCACAATGGTTGAACTAATTTACACTCCCACCAACTGTGTAGGAGTGTTCCTATTTCTCCACATCCTCTCTAACATCTGTAGTCTCCAGATTTTTTAATGATCACCATTTTAACTGGTGTGAGATGGTATCTCAATGTAGTTTTGATTTGCATTTCTCTAATGACCAGTGATGATGAGCATTTTTTCATATGTTTGTTGGCCTCATATATGTCTTCTTTTGAAAAGTGTCTGTTCATATCCTTTGTCCACTTTTGAATGGGATTCTTTGTTTTTTTCTTGTATATCTGTTTTAGTTCTTTGTAGATTCTGGATATTAGCCCTTTGTCAGATGGGTAAATTGCAAAAATTTTTTCCCATTCTGTTGGTTGCTAGTTTGCTCTAATGATGGTTTCTTTTGCTTTACAGAAGCTCTGAATTTTAATTAGATCCCATTTGTCTATCAGAATCTTTGTCAAAGATCAGATGCTTGTAGATGTGTGGTGTTGCTTCTGGGGCCTCTGTTCTGTTCCATTGGTCTATGTTTCTGTTTTCGTACCAGTACCATGCTGCATGCTGTTTTGATTACTGTAGCCTTGTAGTATGGTTTGAAGTCCAGCAGTGTGATGCCTCTGGCTTTGTTCTTTTTGCTTAGAATTGTCTTGGCTATGTGAGCTCTCTTGTGATTCCATGTGAAGTTTAAAGTGGTTTTTTTTCAGTTCTCTGAAGAAGGTCATCGGTAGCTTGATGGGGATAGCGTTGAATCTATAGATTACTTTGTGCATTATGGCCATTTTCACGATATTAATTCTTCCTAACCATGAGCATGGAATGTTCTTCCATCTGTTTGTGTCCTCTCTTATTTCGTTGATCAGTGGTTTGTAGTTCTTCTTGAAGATGTCCTTTATATCCTTTGTTAGTTGTATTCCTAGGTATTTTATTCTCTTTGTAGCAATTGTGAATGGGAGTTTGCTCTTGATTTGGCTCTCTCTCTGTTATTGGCATATAGGAATGCTTGTGATTTCTGCACATTGATTTTGTATCCTGAGACTTTGCTGAAGTTGCTTATCAATCAAATGCAACAGCACATCAAAAAGCTTATTCATCATGATCAAGCAGGCTTCATCCCGAGGATGCAAGTCTGGTTCAACATATGCAAGTCCATAAACATAATCCATCACATAAATGGAACCAAAGACAAAAACCACATGATTATCTCAATAGATGCAGAGAAGGCCTTCAACAAAATTCAAAATTCAAAATCCTTCATGCTAAAAACTCTCAATAAACTAGGTATTTATATATACTCTCAAAGACTGTGTCTTTATATTGAGAAATCAAATGCATTTACATTTGTCATATTATAGCTTTTATCATTTTATGATATCTTCTATTATATCATAAAATGATAAAAGCTATATATAACAAACCTACAGCCAATATCATACTGAATGGGCAAAAGCTGGAAGAATTCCCTTTGAAATCAGGCACTAGACAAGGATGCCCTCTCTCACCACTCCTATTCAATACAGTATTGGAAGTTCTAGCCAGAGCCATCAGGCAAGAAAAAAAATAAAGGGTGTTCAAATAGGAAAGGAGGAAGTCAAACTGTCTCTATTTGCAGATGACATGATTGTATTTTTTTCATAATAATTTGTCTAAGATTGTTAAATGTGCTCTGAATGAAGAGACCTCACCCCCAAAACAGGCTTTGTGTGAGCAACATTCACCTGGGTGCAGGTGGGTTGAGTCAGCTGAGGGCAGCAGGATAGGAGTTGGCTCTATAGGTTTGGGGTAGGCAGTGGAACGTTACAGAAGCCACAGTTCAGGATGATTTTTGCAAGCTGGGAGGGGGTCATAGGGTCTTGAGTCACAAGGTTGACCTATCAGTTGAACAAGGTTGGTTACAAAGTCCAGTTGCCTTCTCAGTTGAGGTGGGAATAAGGAAAAACAGAAGAATGTCTCAAGGTTAATTAGGCACTGCAAGGGCTGGTCATTCTCCTTTCATGGTTTTCCAGGTACTTCAGACTTTCTAGTTCAGGAACTCATCTGGAGGTGTCTGTGCAGGTCACAGAGATTATCATGCAGTCCATGGCACAGTCAATCAGCCTGAAAGACCTTACGAAGATATTTTCTAATCTGTCTTGTGATTTATTCTTTGACTTATTGGTTCTTTAAGAGTATGTTGTTTAATTTTCATATATTTATGGATTTTCCAGTTTTCTTTCCACTATTGATGTCTAGTTTTATTTCATTGTGATTGGGAAAAGATACATTGCATGATTTGTCTTTTTAAATTTATTAAGACTTGTTTTATGGCCTAATATGTGGTATATCCTGAACAGTATATTACACTTGAGAAAAATGTTTCTTCTATTGTTACAGGCTGGAGTGTTCTGTATATGTCTGTTGGGTCTAATTGGCCTATAGCATTGTTCCTGTCCCTGATTTCCTTATTGTGCTTTGTCTAGTTGTTCTATTTACTATTGAAAGTTGACTACTGAAGTCTCTTACTATTATTGTAGAGATTGTATTGTACTATTACTACTTTTTCATTAAATTCTGTCAATGTTTGCAACATATACTTAGGAGCTCTCATATTTAGCACATATGTTTATAATGATATATTTTTGGTTAATTCACTCTTTTATCATTATGTGATGTTCTGTTTCTTGTAACAGTTTTTGAACTACAATCAGTCTTTTATAATATTAGTATAGTCACTCCTTCTATCTTTTGATTATTATTTGCATGGAATATCTTTTTGTATTCTTTCACTTTCAACCTATGCATGCTTTTAGATTTTAAAATGAGTCTCTTGTAGAAAAGGGTATAGTTGGATCCTATTTGTTTTATTCACTCTGGCAATTTGTGTCTTTATATTGAGAAATCAAGTACATTTACATTTAAAACACACTGATGGGGAAGGACTTACTGTTGTGATTCTGTTATTTGTGTTCTGCATATTTTATAGGTTTTTTTTTTTTTGTCACACATTTCCTTCCTTACTGCATTTCTTTGTTTGGTTGATAACTTACAGTGACATGTTTTGATTACCTTCTTATTTCCAATTGTGTATATTCTGTAGATACTTATTTTTACATAGTCACCATGGTGATTATGTAAAACTTCCTTCAGTTATAATAATTTATTTTAAACTGATTACAGTTTATTAAAAACCACTACTCCTTTACAGCTCTGCACTCCCTCCTTTATGTTATTTATGTTACAAATTACACTTTTCTATATCATGTATCCATTTATATACATATTTGTTATGCTTTAGTCTTTTATATCCTATAAAAGAATAAAAGAGAAGCTACAGGCCCTAAGCAGCAGTAATACAGGTTTTAGATTTGTACATATATTTGCTTTTACCAAATAACTTTATGTTTTCATATTTTTATATGGTTTCAAGTCACTAGCACACACAAAAAGGAGAATCCACCTCTAACAGCCTATCACAGTACTAACAGAATACCACATGGTCCCTGCCTCTTTCCTAAAAGTATTTTTTAAATTTTGGTTTTTGTTGTTATAACTTTACCAAAATTGTTTAAAGTAATTTTATCAGCATTGAGTTTTATTGACTAAAGCCCTCCAGATTAGTTAATGAGCATGAGCCTATTTTGTTTCAGCCAGTTTGCATGGGGTCTTGTCTTGAGCAAAAATCATTTCTAGGCATGCAAGTAACAGTTTTTTAGGTTCTACTTTGATGTATATATTCTGAGTGAATTAAAACTGTCAAAGAAATCTTGACTTTCAGTGGCAAGCACTGGAATTGACCCTAATAAAGTGTTCCTGAGGTGAGCCTACTTCATATTCTCAACCTGTCTGTAGTAGTCATTATAATCTGAACTTCCTAAAGTTCATGTGCAAAGTTGAGTTCATTGTTTAATATTCAGTGAGGATCAGTCCAGTAAGATGGTACTGTAGGAAAATATCAAATACGTGTCATCACTGGTGGCATTATTTAGATTGCAACACATTCTAGCTGGCTGCTGATCTCAGCCACCACACCTGCGTTTTATCTGTCTTCATGGTCTGCAACCTTGGAAGCTTTGAACTTAGCTCATAGAATCCTGGGCATCAGGAACATGTGGTTCTGATGGCTAGACAGAGAATGAGAGTAAAAGGATCTTGCCCATGGTCAAATGAGTCAGTGACAGATTTGGAGGGGTCTGGACTCTTGTGATGATGTCATTCTGGCAATAGTGTTCCAGTTGTCCCTTCATTTCCTCCTAGTCCCATGTCTGGTCTGATCTGGCTGTTCCCCACCTTCCAGTTCCTACCTTTTCCAGTGCTCCCTTCCAAAGGTCACTCTGGCTCAGAGTCCCTGCTCAGCAAATGCCCAATCTTTTAATTATTTGTTCTGTAAAACTTGAACTTATGTCTCCCTTTCTTGATAAGAAGAAAATATGTTATGTAATGTAGGGTTATACTATAACTCTTGTCCTCTGGCTTGGCAACCACTGAACTGTTTTCACATTGAGCAAATGTTTATGGCAGGACTACCAAGAGTCAGGTACTAGGCTTAGAAATATCCCCTGTTCTCTCTAGTCAAAGGTGGCACCAGCCAGAATTGCAGATCTAGGTCCCAAGCCCACTGCAGATCATAGGCCGAAGTCTGGTCTCATCTGGGCTCCTTTGGGAGGGAAAGACATAATCATGAACACTCGTTTTATAGATTAGGCAGCTGAGGCTGAGGGAGTTTAAATAACTCATACAGGGCCTGCACATCAGTCATATTCCGAGGATCCCTACTTGCTCTCTTCTTTCTACAGAACAAGAAGAGATGTTTCTGGAGCCCATAGAATACCCAGGGGCCTGGTTGGGCATGGTGGTCCACACCCATAATCCCAGCACTTTGGGAGGCTGAGGCAGGTGGATCACCTGAGCTCAGGAGCTCGAGACCACCCTGGGCAACACAGAGAAACCCCATCTCTACTAAAAATACAAAAAATTATCTGGGTGTGGTGGCACGTGCCTGTAATCCCAGATACTTGGAAGTCTGAGGCACAAGAATTTCTTGAGCCCAGGCGGCAGAGGTTCCAATGAACTGAGATTGCACCAGTGCACTCCAGCCTGGGCAACAGAGCAAGACTCTGTCTCAAAAACAAAAACAACTCTTTCCTTTCCTTCCTTTTTTCCTCTCTCTTTTCTTTTTCTTGATGATTTTATGCAAAGGGCTGACATTCTGATTTTTCTATTTTCAGGTTTAATCCTTATTTTAATAACATTTTCAAGCAAAAAAACAAAAATAGAAAGCCCAGGGGCTACCTACGTCAGGTTTCCAGCCACACCTTTTTCTTGTCCCCCTCGTCTTTGGCATCTTCTCACTGATTCTTAATTCTTTGTGGTTGCACAAAGTCAAAATCCCAGAAATGTTACCACTTAATGCCCACTCAGATGACTTGTTTTAAAAAAAAAAAAGATAACAAGTATTGGCAAGAACATGGAGAAATTGGAATTCTCACTCATTGCTGGTGAGACTGTAATATGGTGCTGCTGCTATGGAAAACAGCTTGGAGGTTCCTCAAGTTAAACAGGCCAGGAGTGGTGGCTTAATGCCTGTAATCCCAGCACTTTGGGAAGCTGAGGCACGTGAATCACAAGGTCAGGAGTTCAAGACCAGCCTGGCCAACATAGTGAAACTCCGCCTCTACTAAAAATACAAAAACCAGCTGGGCACAGTGGTGGGCGCCTGTAATCCCAGCTACTTGGGAGGCTGAGGCAGAGAATTTATTGAACCTGGGAGGCGGAGGTGGCCGTGAGTTGAGATCGTGCCACTATACTCCAGCCTGGGAGACAGAGTAAGACTCTGTCTCAAAAAAAAAAGTTAAACAGAAGTTCTGTGTGATCCAGCAATTCCCCTCCAAGTTATATATCGAAGAGGATTAAAATACACAGACTCATTCTGTTGGTTGCCAATTCACTCTAATGACTGTTTCTTTTGCCATGCAGAAGCTGTGAAGTTTGATTAGGTCCCATTTGTCTATTTTGGCTTTTGTTGCCAATGCTTTTGATGTTTTGGTCATGAGGTCCTTGCCTACTCCTATGTCCTGAATGGTTTTGCCTAAATTTTCTTCTAGGATTTTTATGGTGTTAGGTCTTATGTTTAAGTCTTTAATCCATCTGGAGTTAATTTTAGTGTAAGGTGTCAGGAAGGGGTCCAGTTTCTGCTTTCTGCACATAGCTAGCCAGTTTTCCCAACTCCATTTATTAAACAGGGAGTCCTTTCCCCATTGCCTGTTTTTGTCAGGTTTATCAAAGACCGAATGGTTGTAGATATGTTGTGTTGCCTCCGAGGCCTCTGTTCTGTTCCATTGGTCTATATCTCTGTTTTGGTACCAGTACCATGCTGTTTTGATTACTGTAGCCTTGTAGTATAGTTTGAAGTTCAGTAGTGTGATGCCTCCTGCTGTGTTCTTTTTGCTTAGAATTGACTTGGCTATGCGGCTCTCTTTTGGTTCCATATAAAGTTTAAGGTGGTTTTTTCCAGTTCTGTGAAGAAGGTCATTGGTAGCTTGATGGGTATAGCATTAAATCTATAAATTACTTTGGGCAGTATGGCCATTTTCATGATATTGATTCTTCCTAACCATGAAAATGAAATGTTCCTCCATCTGTTTGTGTCCTCTCTTATTTCGTTGAGCAGTGGTTTGTAGTTCTCCTTAAAGAGGTCCTTTACATTCCTTGTTAGTTGTATTCCTAGGTATTTTATTCTCTTTGTAGCAATTGTGAATGGCAGTTCATTCTTGATTTGGCTGTCCTTAAGTCTGTTATTGGTGTATAGGAAGGCTTGTGATTTTTGCACATTGATTTTGTATCCTGAGACTTTGCTGAAGTTGCTTATCAGTTTCAGGAGATTTGGGGCTGAGACGATGGAATCTTCTAGATATACAATCATGTCATCTGCAAATAGAAACAAATTGGCTTCCTCCTTTCCTATTTGAATACCCTTTATTTCTTTTTCTTGCCTGAATGCTCTGGCTAGAATTTCCAGTACTATATTGAATAGGAGTGGTGAAAGAGGGCATCCTTGTCTAGTGCCAGATTTCAAAGGGAAAGCTTCCAGTTTTTGCCCATTCAGTATGATATTGGCTGTTGGTTTGTTGTAAATAGCTTTTATTATTTTGAGATATGTTCCATCAATACCTAGTTATTTACCCATCTGACAAAGGGCTGATATCCAGAATTTACAAATAACTAAAACAGATTTACAAGAACAAAACAAACACCCCCATTCAAAAGTGGGCAAAGGATATGAACAGACACTTTACAAAAGAAGACATACATGAGGCCAACAAACATATGAAAAAATGCTCATCATCACTGGTCATTAGAGAAATGCAAATCAAAACCACATTGAGATACCATCTCAGGCCAGTTAGAATGGCGATCATTAAAAAATCTGGAGACAACAGATAACAAAAATGCCCATTGATGATAGACTGGACTGGGAAAATGTGGCACATATACACCATGGAATATTATGCAGCCATCAAAAATGATGAATTTGTGTCCTTTGTAGGGCCATGGATGAACTTGGAGATCATCATTCTCAGCAAACTGACACAAGAACAGAAAATGAAATACCACATGTTCTCACTCATAGGTGGATGTTGAACAATAACACATGAACACAGGGAGGGGAGTATACACACTGGGGTCTGTTGGGGGGCAGTAGGGGAGGGACAGTGGGGGGTGGGGAGTAGGGGAGATATAGCATGGGGAGAGATGCCAGATATAGGTGAAGGGGAGGAAGGCAGCAAATCACACTGCCATGTGTGTACCTATGCAACAATCTTGCATGTTCTTCACATGTACCCCAAAACCTAAAATGCAATAAAAAAATAAAATACATGGACTCACATATTCCTAACAGTCCAGTTCACAATAGCCAAAAGATGCAAACAGCTCATCCATCAATGGATGGATAAATTGTGGTCTATCCATAAAATGGAATATTATTTGGTCATAAAAAGAATGAAGTTCTGATACATGCTACAGAATGGATGAACCTCAAAAATATTATATGAAGGCCAGAAACCAAAGTCCACATATTGTATCATATAAAATATCCAGAAGAGGTAAACCCACAGAGACAGAACATGCAATGGTGGATGCCAGGGTCTGGGGAGAGGGAAGAGTGGGGAGAAGCTGCTTAACTGATACAGGCTTTATTTTGGAATGATGGGAATGTTTTGCAACTAGATAGAGGTGGTGGTTGCAGAATACAGAATGTACTGGATCCCATGCCTTTGTTCACCTCAAAATGGTTAATTTTCAGTCCTCAGATTGGATAATCATAAAGAAAAAGATTAATTTTATGTTACGTGCATTTCACCTCTATACATTTATTTTTAAAATCTCAGAAATATATACTAACTAGGCATGAGACATGCCACTCTGGTTTCTGTCAAGCCCCGTGATGTTATCTGGGGTCCCACCCAGCCTTAAGCCTCTTGCTGACCAGTGGAGCGCAGAACCTTTGCCCTAAACATACAAGATCCACATGTTGGCATGATTCCTGGCCAGATTACTTCTTTATTGGCAGTAATTAAAACTGCCTCGATTCAGACAGTATCTTGCAACCAAGGAAATGAGTCAACAATGATAATAATGGTTAAGGTGGGTCATTCTCTTTATTTGCCAGTTAAATTATATTTATTATAATGTGATATGAAAAAGCAACTCCAACAGGTAACGCAAGGGCAAAGGACATGAACATTTTATCAAAGAAGAAATGCAGCTGTCAAAAATATAGAAATATTCAACCTTGTTAATAATAAAAGTAGGCTAGGCGCAGTGGCTCTCACCTATAATCTCAGCACTTTGGTAGGGCAAGGCAGGCGGATCACGAGGTCAAGAGATTGAGACCTCCTGGCCAACATGGTGAAACCCCATCTCTACTAAAAATCTGAAAATTAGCTGGGTGTGGTGGCAAGTGCCTGTAGTCCCAGCTACTCGGGAGGCTGAGGATGGAGAATAGCTTGAACCATGGAGGCGGAGGCTGCAGTGAGCCAAGAGCGTGCCTCTGCATTCTAGCCTGGCAACAGAGTGAGACTCTGTCTAAAAAAAAAAATGGTGAGGCTCAGTTCATGCCTGTAATCCCAGGCATGAACTTTGGGAGGCTGAGACAGGAGGATCACTTGAAACCATAAGTTTAAGACTATCCTAGGCAAGTCAGTTCAAGACCAGAATTCATCTCTACAAAAAAATTACCCAGGCATGGTGTGCATGCCTGTAGTCCCAGCTACTCAGGAGGCTGAGGCAGGAGGATTGCTTGAACCTGGGAGGTTGAGGTGGCAGTAAGCCATGATTGTGCCATTGCACTCCAGCCTGGGCGATACAGGAAGACTCTGAATAATAATAATATATATTTTGTTGAGACAAAGTCTTACTCTATTGCCCAGGCTGGAGTGCACGGGTGCGATCTCGGCTCACTGCAACCTCTGCCTCCCAGGTTGAAGCAATTTTCTGCCTCAGCCTCCTGAGTAGCTGGGATTACAGGCATGTGCCACTATGCCCAGCTAATTTTTGTATTTTTAGTAGAGCCAGGGTTTCCCCATCTTGGCCAGGTTGGTCTCGAACTCCTGACCTCGTGATCTTCCCACCTCTGTATTTTTTTATTACTAAAAAAAGGTGGACCATTCTCACAGCCTGAAATACTTATCACTTTCCCTTCTTCTGTCCAAAGACTTCTCTATGATAATGCAAACAGTCATCCTTTAGGAAGACTTCACCTCAGGTAGTTCCCAGATCCTCTTCTCTCTGCCTTTCCAGAACTTCTGGTGTCTCTCCAGTTCCCTCCGTGTGAAGTACCCCACCTAGGGTCTTGGTATGGCTCCTTTTTTGAAGTTCTTGTTCACATTTTCCCTTACGGTTCTGTTCCCCTGTATTGTGTCATAGCACTGGGTACAGTGGAGAACCCATTCACACTGATAAAGAGGATCTCGTGGTTCTGAAGATAACCATGTAACCGATCAGAATAGGGCATTGTGGGCTAGGTGTCAGGCATGGGCTGCACTTGGGTGGGCAGGCCCCTTGGAAAGTCAGTGGGTTTGGCAAGCTTCCAAGTAACGTCTCCCTGGAGTCCTCTTGACACTACATGCAAAAATCCTGGATGCTGTTTTATTCTGGGGAGATGGTTCATTCCATTCATTTGATTATCAAAGAAACTCATGTCCCAACTAACAGTCACAAAATCCAGTTTGTAAACCAAGATGACCTCAGCTGAATGAAATTGCTGACCCTCTGTTTTCCCCCAGCCTCTCAGCGTCCTTGAAATAAGAGCGGTTCAAGCAGCCTCATGAGACATTACAATGTTTAATTATTTCAGTGATTATTAAACCTTGCCCTGTGTTGACCCCAGGTGAATCACAAGCTGAACTTCTGACAAGGACAAGCTAGGATATTCTTTTCAATTACAGGAAAAAAGTAAGTTAATTCATAGGATTTTCTTTGTTTGAATAATGTTACTAGTTTCGAAATGGTTAATATATGCACATGGTATACATTGAGAAGGTATAAGAGGATAATCCTTTTATACTACTGGGAATAATGTTTTCCCTTGGTAGCTTTCACTAGATTAAAAAAGTCTCAGCCGTTGGCTCATGCCTGTAATCCCAGCACTTTGGGAGGCCGAGGCGGGCAGATCATGAGGTCAGGAGATTGAGACCATGCTGGCTAACACAGTGAGACCTGTCTCTACTAAAAAGACAAAAAATCAGCTGGGCATGGTGGCAGGCACCTGTAGTCCCAGGTACTTGGGAGGCTGAGGCTGGAGAATCCTTGAACTTGGGAGAAGTTGTAGTGAGCTGAGATTGTGCCATTGCACTCCAGCCTGGGCAACAGAGCAAGACTCCCTCTCCAAAAAAGAAAATTTCCCTGCTATTAGTTGTTGAAGTTTTTAAATATCATAAATGAAAGTTGAATATTATTATATATTATTAATATTACTGAACTATCAAAGACTCTTCCTGAAACCATTGAGATTATCTAATAACTGTTATACTTTAATCTGTTGCAAGATCATTTGTACTTATCTCTTTTCTCTGTTAACCATTCTTGAGCCTCAGGTTTAAATTCAACTTGGTCATAGTATATCATCTTTGATCACTGCTGTCTCTGACTTGCTACTATTTTGCTCAGGATTTTTGCACTGATGCTTATGAATGAGACTGGCATGCCATCTTCCTTTGTGGTCCTGATTTTTGTCTGATTTGGATCATGTGGTTATGGTCCTCATGGAAAGAGTCGGGCATGATGCCTTCTTTTTCATGTCTCTGGATTGATGGGAAACTTTCGATTCTCTCCAGATGACCCTCACTGGTCCCTGCCTCCTCATTGTTAGGCCCCTGGGCAACCCCTTCTTGTGTTTTATTTTTGTTTTTTGAGTTGGAGTCTTGCTCTGTCACCCAAGGCTGGAGGGCAATGGCATGATCTCAGCTCACTGCAACCTCCGCCTCCCGGGTTCAATCAATTCTCCTGACTCAGCCTCCTGAGTAGCTGGGATCACAGGCACACACCATCATGCCCGGCTAATTTTTGTATTTTTAGTACCCACGTTGGCCAGGCTGGTCTTCAACTCCTGACCTCATGATCTGCCCGCCTCAGCCTCCCAAAGTGCTGGGATTACAGGCATGAGCCACTGCACCCAGTGAACCTGTGGTTGTTAAAAGCTCCCCATGCACGTGAATGCTGTAAGCATCCCAGGGTAACAGCCACTGTGTGCTCAGCTCTTGAAACTGTGAGTAAGCACCAGTGGGACCCTCTCTGGCACTTGCCTGCTGAGCTTATGAAAGAGGCTTGTTGGGCTTCTCTTTCACATGTTGATTTCATCACCTTTTACATTTTGCTTTCCTGGAAACAAAAATAATTCTGGTTGCGACATGTCAAAATTATTTGCAACATTCCCCTTTCTGCTGAAACCACAAGTTCACTGAATACACAATTTGGTAAAGTATAGGACGAGCATGTCGTTTTCGTGGCCAGCTCTGTAGCATGTTATAACTATACTAGCAGTGTGGTGAGAGGTGTAGAAGGAAGTATTTATCTCATGTGACTGACACAACCTGCCAAGTTATTTTAGGAGCTTCCTTGAATTCCCAGCAAGAAGGCCACCAGCACGGTTTGTAATGACAACATCTGGCTCCATGCCCTGGCTTCATGGGTTAGTCACTTCTGCAAGTCTCTTCCCATCTGTCTGTTTCCACACCTATAAAGTACAAGTTAAATCATCCTACCAATACTCACCTTACAAAGTTGTATTGCTGATCATTAAGAGAGGAAAGAATGTATAAACTGTGAAGTGCCATGGCAATGTTAGTGGTTAGTTTATCAAGAAATAGACACTCTAGAGTGGAGCAGAAAGCAAACAGTTATGATCAAGTCCTCTTCTTCTTTTTTATTAATTTATAAAGAAAAGAGGCTTAATTGACTCACAGTTTCCTATGGCTGGGAGTCCTCAGGAAACTTACAATCATGGCAGAGGGCAAAGGGGAAGAAGACACCCTCTTCACAAGGCGGCACTAGAGAGAGAGCTCCTCTTCTTTTTTTGTCATAAAGTCTACAGAAGTGCTTATACTTCAGGGCAAAGGCGGTCAGGGAGAAGAAACGGCATTGCTGCACCCCAGCCCTCATTAACGAGTTTGCTAGGGGGTCTCACTTTGTCCCAGTGTAGGGGCAGAGCTCTGGCACTACCTATTCAGAAGGCCTGGGCTGCATTGCTAGTTCCCCACTAACTCTGTGTGACCTCAGGCAGGGTTGGGCCTGTGTTAAAAGATTATGACCCTGGGCTCTCAAACTAGAGGATCTAAATTTGAATCCTGGCTCTGCAAGAGCAATTAGTGATGTAACCTTAGATGGGTCAGTTAACCATCCTGAGGCTTAGTTTGCTCATCTATAAATAGGGATCGTAACAATACCAGTACCACAGGGTTGTTGGACAGAGTGAATCAGTTAATGCAGGGTAGGTACTTAGCATGACATGTATCCACTACCATTTCCTGGAGTAAGAGCTGTGTGTGAGTGGGTGTGAGCATGTGTGAAACCATTTCTCTGCAATCTCAATTAAGAGACCAATCCAGAATTTAAATTTCAGGGCCTAAATGTGTGGTTATCTTCTCCCAGTTCCATCCTATCCCACCTTTGTTCTTCCTCCTGCCCGCAGGAGCTCGTGGTCCTTGATTGGGCTGGAAGACCTGGTGGACCCTAAGTGATTAATAAGAGAAGGAGATGGGAGGCCGAGGCAGGTGGATCACGAGAGATCGAGACCATCCTGGTCAACATGGTGAAACCTCGTCTCTACTAAAAATACAGAAAATTAGTTGGGCATGGTGGTGCGTGCCTGTAATCCCAGCTGCTCAGGAGGCTGAGGCAGGAGAATTGCCTGAACCCAGGAGGCAGAGGTTGCGGTGAGCCGAGATCGCGCCATTGCACTCCAGCCTAGGTAACAAGAGCGAAACTCCGTCTCAAAAAAAAAAAGAAGGAGAATAAAGGACAGGGAATGTCTTTGAAACCTACAGGGACACAGAAGTTGAGAGAGGCAGGCAGACCTACAGGGGTCTTCTGATTGGGACAAGGAGGACCTTGGTCTTCACAGGCCAATTCTGGTCAATTTCCCCCATGGACAGATGAGGAAACAGGCCCAGAAATTCCAAGGTCTCACACTTCTCATCCATCAAGTCTTGTTGCTTCTGTTGTATTCATGTCTTTCAAAGAGAGAGAGAGCTGCAATGAGCTATAATCACAGCACTGCACTCCAGCCTGGGCAACAGAGTGAGACCCTGTCTCAAAACAATTTTTAAAATAAATGAATAAAAACAAAACTTAGATACTACCTGGCCACCCCAACCTGCAAAATCAAGTGTTGCCTTACTGAGAAGAATGGGGACTTGAGAGCTGAGTTACAGAGAGATAATCTTCCTTTTTTTTTTCTCGAGTTTACATCCTCAAGATCATGACCTGTGAAATTTGAATCTAACACACAAATCATTCCAGAGCAATGCTGCCTCCCCCCATACCACCAGCAATGAAGTTGGCCACTGGAAGACAGAACAAGCTTCCCAGAAGAGAGGGTACCACTTGGGCTACCAATATAAAAAGATGAAATTAACAGAGTGATGGTGTTCCATACATCACTGAGTTCCTGGACATCCTTGTCCACTGATGCTGATATCTGAGCCTCATGCTTCTCTGAATGTTCTTTGAGATTTAACTTTGATCCAACACTAACTAGACTGAAAAAGAAGGTAAGTCTTTCATAGTTGATAAGGACGCTATATTTCTCATATTTGTAAGATTACTTTTCTTCGGCTGTACTATAATTATCTGCTTATTTGTCTCTGCTCTGTGTGTTTAGGGTGAAGAGTTGACCAAGACCAAGAATAACATCTGGGAGCACAGCTTTAAAAACATGATGAGGCGGGCGCTGTGGCTCACGCCTGTAATCCCAACTCTTAAGGAAGCAGAGGTGGGAGGATAGCTTGAGCCTAGGAGTTCAAGACCTGCCTGGGCAATACAGCAAGACCCCGTTCTCCACAAAAAGGAAAAAAACAAGACCAAAAACTAAGCATAAAAACATGATAAATGCTTTAATACAGGAAATGAGTAGGTGAGAGGCATTTGGTGGTTGGGGTGTTATTCCAATACATAGTATCTTCCTTGACACATTCAGTGCGTTTCTCAGTAGGCAAGTCCCTACATGTTAGAAGATACTACCTTCTGTGGAATTAAGTGGCAGAACATGCCTTCAATTATTTTCCTTTGCAGAGCAAGACCAATTTGCATTAGTTAGGACACAGTGCTGGCTATGTTTTAGGTCCAAGTAACGATTAGTCTATCACTGTTGGTATAGATTCCAATCAGTCAGACCACCCCCTGAAGCTCGTAGGGCAGGTAAATCGTCATCTTAGAATAAAAATCATCATAGCCAAGTATGTGTTTTAAAGGAAAGAATAAAACATATTTATTTCCTTAAAAAAAAAAACAAGGGCTGTGGATTTAGGTGAGTGAATGAAGCTGTTGACAGTAATCAGATAACACTGGAATCTTTACTTGTCTGAATGTGTTGTGTGCACCTCCCAGGGTGGGAACATAGATAAGGCGATCCTCCAGTAATCCTCCACTGAGATGAGGTGGAGTCCTTTGTTCCAGAAAACCCACAGTGGGTGCTGCTGGGAGTAACCCTTGAGCCAGGAACATGAATCTCAACCAATCTGCAGTTGCAGCCTTGAGTCTCACTATTTCCCATAGTGACACTTAGTAGGGAATGGCAGGTGCACCACAGCAGGATAGGACCTTCCATGTCCCTTCCTGTTAGTTTTTATAATATTTTATTGTGATCAGTAGCAGTTTGGAAGCCACTTGCAATCACTGAGCCTCAGTTTCTACATCTGTAAACTGGGACGTGGCCGTATTTAATGTGCTCAATGAAGCCACTGAAAGGAGACAGAAATGTATCAGAATTCCTTGGACTTTTATCCTACTTCTCCTGGGGATTGTCACCCACCTTTCCATGTCTGTCCTTTGTTGGTGACACTTGCTGTCACTTTGTTCTTTAGGTGCCTCTCTGTAGGGCTCTGTTATCCCAGGGATTCCAGTTACTGGCACATGCATACCTCCATCCAAGCATGTGTTTGTGTCTCCTGCTCCACTAGGCTGTCCCCAAGGAAGACGCGGCTCCTGGCACATACCTGGCACAACACTGCACAAGACATTCACCCACTTGGCCTTGAATCTGACATGGAATCTAGTATGACATTCACCCACTCAGGCTAGATGCTGAGCAGCCTTGGAGGCTTAGGGCCAGAGGGATGGGAAGGGTTGCCTTTCTGGGGTGAGTCACAGTTTCTGCAGGAAGGCTGAGTGTGAGAAAGAATAAAGAAGGAAGTGCACAAGCATAGCTTAAACATCTTCTATTTCTACTGAGTTTTAAGAACTCTGAGATTTTATTTGTTATGTAATCCACCATTCCTCAGGCCAAGCAGACACAGAACTTGGGTCCGAGTGATAATGAGCTGATACAATTTTCACACCCTCATCACTGAGATCTCTCCCATCAGGAATGGGTTGGGGGGGCTCACAGGTGGCAGCAACTGCTATTACAGGCCTCATCTCTGCCAGCTCCTGGGGCCTGCTCTCCTCCCATTAGAAAATCCTCCACTTGTCAAAAAGGAAGCCATTTGTTTGAATCCCAATTCCACCCCCAAGAGACTGGGAACATCTTATTGGAGTCCTTGATGCTGTGTGAGCCTGCAGTGACCGCTGCCCCATCATTGCTGGCTAAGGTTGTTGGGATCCACCTGGTCATCTGGGCAGCTGTTCTCTTTTCTCCTTTCTCTCCCACTGTTTCTACACATGCAGTATTTCCAGAGAGAAGGGGCCACTCTTTGGTAAATAACCTGTCTAACTTGCTATCTACTGCAGGGACCTTGAGGGGTTCACAGGAAGCAGCACAAATTGATAGTGTTCCGTGAAGCCATCAGATCCATCTTATTCACACCCTGTCTCACCTTTAGGGGTCCTCTTGCCAACAGAATCACAGAGGACCAGCCTGACAGTGCAGAGACAGCAGCTGAGGCATAGCCAAGAGCTCTGGCTATAGGAATGACCTAAGAAGATGGAGCGGTCATCGGAAAGTCAGAGGGGATGACACACAGGGGCCCAGCAACCTCAGCCAAGTCAACTCTACTAGCCTTTCTGGTCGCCAACTGTGTGTTCAGCACCCCGATAGGGAGCAGAGCCATGACAGTGAATAAGACCAGGCCATGCCCTTCAGGACCTATCTCAGGTAAGGAAAACAGGTGTGGAAACCCACAATGGTGGTCAAGAGGAAAGAAGACAACAGGATTGCGTGAAGGAAACAGTCACATCTGTGTGAGTAGGTTGGTAAGGAAAGACTCTAAGAGAAGGCTCTGTCTGGCTGGGTTTGGAAGGATGTACAGGAGTCTTCCAGGGGGCACAGGGGCACTCCAGGCATGGGTAAAGATCTGTAGGTGTGGCTTGTTGGGACGGATTTCAAGTATTCTGGAATGAAGACAGCCATGGAGACAAGGGCAGGAGAGAGGAGATTAAATAGATTTCATGTCAATGGCTCCACTTGAGTTTCTGATAAGAACCCCTAACCCTTGGACTCCACAGTAACACTGATTGACTTGTTTATGATTCCCCAAAGAATGAACTCAAAGGAGGTCAGTGGGGGTTATCTGTGATTCTCTGCCAACTGCCAAGATGAAACCTCTTCCAACTGCAGGTGGAGCGTAGGTGACCCTGCTACTGGCTGCAACTCCAGCCCTGCCCCTGCTTCAGTACATAAACAATGCAGCAGCCTCACTGAATCGCTGCTGTGCAGGGCAGGAAAGCTCCATGCACACAGTCCAGCAAACAGCAGCACGCAGCTGAAAGGAAGACTCGGAGGAGAGAGATAAGGAAGGATAGTAGTGATGGATTTCATCCCAAACTTGGCCGTTGAAACCTGGCTTCTCCTGGCTGTCAGCCTGGTGCTTCTGTATCTGTGAGTAACTGTCCAGGCTCCTCTCCTCTGTTTCCTTGGACTTGGGGTGCTAATCAGGACTCTCCCTCATCTGTTTTAAAGATCAAAAAGAGATGTTCAGGCCAGGTGCGGTGGCTTACACCTGTAATCCCAGCACTTTGGGAGGTCGAGGAGAGAGGATTGCCTGAGGTCAGGAGTTCAAGACCAGCCTGGCTAACATGATGAAATCCTGTCTCTACTAAAAATACAAAAATTAGCCAGGTATGGCGGGTGCATGTCTGTAGTCCCAACTACTTGGGAGGTTGAAGCAGGAGAATCTCTGGAACCTAGGAGGCAGAGGTTGCAGTGAGCCAAGATCATGCCACTGTACTCTAGCTGGGGTGACAGAGCAAGACTCCATCTCAAAAAAAAAAAAAAAAAAATAGATGTTCAAAGAGAAGTAGCTTAAGTGTTGGATGCTACAAACATATAGAGATTATTACAGATCTTACGCAGATCTATAAAGAAATAAATAAGCATCACCGCCATCTATCTTTAGTGACAAGAAGGGTTTGGGGACAGCTTTGATTAAGGATGATCTAATTGACAATAGTTTGGACCCAGCCTACTAAACCAGAATTTGGATTTCACATTTTTCCCTTTACGTTGCGGTAGAAGATGATAAAGGGAAAAATGGAGGTATTAAAATAAACTGTCGGGAAGGTATATTTAAAAAGACATATGCAGTCTTGTCATAGAGACATACATTTGTGCATTAGACTCATAATCCTATATGACAAGATTGGAATATGGAAAGTTACTCACAAATGTATGTCTCTATGACAAGACTGCATATGGGATTGTGAGTCTAATGCACAAATGTATGTCTCTATGACAGGATTGCATATGGGATTGTGAGTCTAATGCACAAATGTATGTCTCTATGACAAGACTGCATATGGGATTGTGAGTCTAATGCACAAATGTATGTCTCTATGACAGGATTGCATATAGGATTGTGAGTCTAATGCACAAATGTATGTCTCTATGGCAGGATTGCATATGGGATTGTGAGTCTAATGCACAAATGTATGTCTCTATGACAAGACTGCATATGGGATTGTAAGTCTAATGCACAAATGTATGTCTCTATGACAGGATTGCATATAGGATTGTGAGTCTAATGCACAAATGTATGTCTCTATGACAGGATTGCATATGGGATTGTGAGTCTAATGCACAAATGTATGTCGCTATGACAAGACTGCATATGGGATTGTGAGTCTAATGCACAAATGTATGTCTCTATGACAAGACTGCATATGGGATTGTGAGTCTAATGCACAAATGTATGTCTCTATGACAAGACTGCATATGGGATTGTGAGTCTAATGCACAAATGTATGTCTCTATGACAGGATTGCATATGGGATTGTGAGTCTAATGCACAAATGTATGTCTCTATGACAAGACTGCATATGGGATTGTGAGTCTAATGCACAAATGTATGTCTCTATGACAGGATTGCATATGGGATTGTGAGTCTAATGCACAAATGTATGTCTCTGACAAGACTGCATATGGGATTGTGAGTCTAATGCACAAATGTATGTCTCTATGACAGGATTGCATATGGGATTGTGAGTCTAATGCACAAATGTATGTCTCTGACAAGACTGCATATGGGATTGTGAGTCTAATGCACAAATGTATGTCTCTATGACAGGATTGCATATAGGATTGTGAGTCTAATGCACAAATGTATGTCTCTATGACAGGATTGCATGTGGGATTGTGAGTCTAATGCACAAATGTATGTCTCTATGACAAGACTGCATATGGGATTGTAAGTCTAATGCACAAATGTATGTCTCTATGACAGGATTGCATATAGGATTGTGAGTCTAATGCACAAATGTATGTCTCTATGACAGGATTGCATATGGGATTGTGAGTCTAATGCACAAATGTATGTCTCTATGACAAGACTGCATATGGGATTGTGAGTCTAATGCACAAATGTATGTCTCTATGACAAGACTGCATATGGGATTGTGAGTCTAATGCACAAATGTATGTCTCTATGACAGGATTGCATATAGGATTGTGAGTCTAATGCACAAATGTATGTCTCTATGACAAGACTGCATATGGGATTGTGAGTCTAATGCACAAATGTATGTCTCTATGACAAGACTGCATATGGGATTGTGAGTCTAATGCACAAATGTATGTCTCTATAACAGGATTGCATATGGGATTGTGAGTCTAATGCACAAATGTATGTCTCTATGACAGGATTGCATATAGGATTGTGAGTCTAATGCACAAATGTATGTCTCTATGACAGGATTGCATATGGGATTGTGAGTCTAATGCACAAATGTATGTCTCTATGACAGGATTGCATATGGGATTGTGAGTCTAATGCACAAATTTATGTCTCTATGACAAGACTGCATATGGGATTGTGAGTCTAATGCACAAATGTATGTCTCTATGACAGGATTGCATATGGGATTGTGAGTCTAATGCACAAATGTATATCTCTATGACAGGATTGCATATGTCTTTTTGTGGGATTCCTGGCATCCTAGAGCAGGTGGAGAGAAGAGTTACTCCCCACTGTGGGCAGTGGAGCCTTCCCATCTGTCACATTTTACTTCTACCTCAATTTCACTTTTATTAAGAATAGGGAATTATGATGACACAAAAATAGAAAAGGTTAGAAATTCAGTGCATTGTGGCAACATAGTTTTCATCTGCTGATATTTTAGCATGAATTTATATGGCTTAAATGTATTCTATTAAAACCAGATTTTTTTTTTGGAGATAAACTATTTCCAGCACGTTCCCCCTAGATGATAAAAGAGGGCTATTAGTTCAGTATTTGTGACAATAAATGTGTATAAAATAACCTCACCTTTCCAGACTAATGTCAGGAATATGAGTCTAACACACAAATGTATATCTCTGTGACAAGACTGCTTTTAAAATACACCTGCCTGACGGCTTAATACCTCCTTTTCTAATATACCTGCTTAGCAGGTTATCATAAACTCTCAAGGCAGGGAAGCAAGCAAGACTGTGAGTGAGTGACGACAGTAAAGGTATCTAGGTAGGATCAGTATGAAGTGAGAAAATATTCCTCAGCTCTCAGGATACAGCTCCAAAGAGATATTCATGGGTCCTGGCCCCACAGTGGAGGTCACTCGAAGGGCAAACAGGTTGGCATCTCATCTGCTTCAAGCCTGGACGTGGCGCACCATCTGTGTCACTGTGTGTGTGGTCTGCCATGTTGTGGGGCTGTCACTACAGATTTGGGCAGCCGGGCAGGCAATACCTTAGCCTTAGATGATGTTCGTGCAGCCCAGGAGTCAGGAACTGTAGTGTAGACCATGTCTTCCTTAGGCCAACACAATGATGTGCAATAGATGACTGGCTTTTCTGTTAGCCTCTTCATTGGAACCAAAAGCAGCATAACTCTACCAAACAGAGGACAGCTGGAAAGAAACTAAAGACTTCGCCCAGCTCACCCTCTGCCTTGACATGGTACCATGTGAGTCTAGACACTCGCCAAGATCTTTCCTCGGGGCCAATGCTGCTGACACATTAACTCAATAGTTTGTCCTGGCCTGAGAGGTCAGGTAACATGTAGAAAGTTTAGAAGCAGAGATTAGTGTCATTGATTTGCCATGGCTCTGACAACAAAGGAAGGAACTGGAGTGGGAAAACCCAAGGCCACCCTGGTTTTAGTAATGGTGCATGCACTTCCACTAACTGTTCTGGGGGAAGGATCCAAATGCACTATTGGGCCTGGCTGTGCTGCCTCCTCTGGGTCCTCCAAACACGACCCCCAGTGCAATTTCTCAGTTGTGTTTTACCACATATTATAAGACTCACTGGATTTGTACAGAATGTTTGGAACCTTTACTGCCTTAAAAGCTACCCTTTAAAGAAGAGAAAACGGTCTTAATTCAACTGTGGAATATTTTATGGTTATGTGGAATACTGCATCTTTTGCTATCAACAGGAAGGTACATGGACATTAGAAGGCCCCTGTCTTTCAGTTGAAAGCACATACAATGTGAACAGATCCATTTATACACGCCACACTTATTCAGCCACATTTTCCTAATTTGCCTCTCTGAGGCCAACTTTGTGGGACTAGCAGATTCATGGTTGAATTGATGGCTGGTGACCCCTTCCATCAGTCTTTGTTCTTCCTCGAGTCCTCCACCCCTCAGTAACATCAGACTGGGAAGGTCTTCAGACACCCATAACCCCCAGCTGGGAGAGTCCATACATGACCCATCAAAGATGAGCTGCAAGCAGGCCTGCCATAGGGAGCACCAGCCTTAATGGGTTTTCCTACAGAGATAGTTGATGTGCAGAGGCAACAAACTGACTGCTTTGTGACTGATCGCCTTGAAAAAAATGAGCATGTCTGGCTGTAATCATCCTTTCTTGCATTGCTATAAAGAAATGCCTGAGGCTGGGTAATTTATAAAGAAAAGAGATTTAATTGGCTCATGGTTCTGCAGGAAGCACAGCGACTTCTGCCTCTAGGGAGGCCTCAGGAAATTTACAATCATGGCAGAAGGTGAAGGAGAAGCAGGCAGATCTTACATGGCTGGAGCAGAAGCAAGAGAGAGAGGGGAGGAAGTGCCACACACTTTTAAACAACCAGATCTCATAAAATCTCATTGTCACGAGGACAGCATCCAAGGGGGGATGGTGTTAAATTATGAGAAACTGCCTCTAAGATCCAATCACCTACCAAGCCCCAACTCCAGCATTGGGGACTACATTTCAACATGAGATTTGCGTAGAGGCACAGATGCAGACCATAGCACTGGTACCATGCTTATCAGGTGAGTATCACCAGTTGGAAGGTTAGACTCCACAAGAGGAGGAATATTCTGGAAATTGGTTCTTTAGTTGTGATTCTTCTGCACACTGTCATTCATGAAAATATGAGTCAGTCATCCTCCCCAACAGCTCAAATCAACCAGATCATCTGACCACAGAGATTGAAGAGTAGCTGAAAGGTGCTCCCATTTCTGAGGCCAATGGAAGCCTGGAGCACAGTTGTCGATCTGTAGAAATAAAGCCTCTGACTCCTCCAAGACCTGTGAATGATGGTTTAAGAAGGGTCAGATCCTAAAACAGAGTCAGAGCTTAGAGGGAAGGGAAAGCATAGAAGCCTCTGAGCAAATCTTAAAGATAGGGTCGCCATACCTCTCAGTAACCCTCTGTGATTGACTGAATACAATGATGCAAAATCTCATCACTGCAGAAGACAAAAAAAGTCACCCTTTCTACCTAGGCTGAGGATTCCCAAATCAGGGAAGAGTCCGCTTATTAAATACACATCAGGGAGTGAAGTGCCCTGGAAGAATTCCCACCTGAATCTCTCAGGAGCACTCATGTTTGAGGACATTTATCAAGTATTCACTCCAGGACTGGGACCAGGAAGACTTCAGCTGCTTTTAGCTAACCATTGTGACTTTTTGGGGTCTCATGGTGGAGGCAGGAAAGGACCTGATGAACAAATATAATCTTTGCCGTTGGAGTTACTGTTATTATTTATTGCCTTAATGTTACCTCCCTCTCTTGACAGTTCCAGTTCCTCAGTCAGGGACTCACCAGCCCCTATATATCTATAAAGTCACAATCCCTGCGACCTGATTTCTGTTTCACTTTGTAGATATGGAACTCATTCACATGGGCTTTTTAAGAAGCTTGGAATTCCAGGACCCACACCTCTGCCCTTTTTGGGAACTGTTTTGTACTACCGTCAGGTGAGTGTGCTGGAGCTCCCCATTTTGCTTCCTTGCCATTTTTACTGATGGCAAAGAGCAGCTTAGTTCCATCAGTAAAAATGCTTCTCCTTGGGAGGAAGGTCTGAGGTTTTACACTTTCAGAAACTGTGCAGACATCACCCAGAGCATGGCTAAGAATGATGGTCTCCAGATTCATCCATGTCCCTACAAAGGACACAAACTCATAATTTTTTATGGCTGCATAGTCCATGGTGTATATGTGCCACAATTTCCTTGTCCAGCCTATCGTTGATGGGCATTTGGGTTGGTTCCAGGTCTTTGCTATTGTAAATAGTGTTGCAATGAACATACGTGTGCATGTGTCCTTATAAACAGAATGGTTTATAATCCTTTGGGTATATACCCAGTAATGGAATTGCTGGGTCAAATGGAATTGCTATTTCTAGGTCCTTGAGAAAGTGCCACAATTGTTTTTAACTTTCAGTGAAAACTCCGAGCCAGTGTCATAATTTGTTGTGTTCGATGTGTAGAGGCGACATTTTCTCGTAACTTCCATGTGAAGCTGGAAAACTGGAAAGCAAGTTCACTTTGTCATTCTGTTGCTCACCCATTTTGTCACTCAGCAACATGCCTCAGACTCACCTAAATCTGCTAGACTAAAAGAGGTCCTTGGGGTCTGTAACTTTATAATTCTGCTAGAATCCTAGAGCGAGCTCAAGAAATAAATGAAAAGGATGACGAACAAAGAGATCAAAGGCTGTGCATTCCCTTCTGACACTCACTCACGTTCCCTCAGCTTCAGTTTCCCCACTGTCCCTGGAGGTGATCATTCAGGGATTTATCAGATTTTAGAGACAACACATGAAAAAAAGACATTGAAAGACAAGGAGCAAATAAATATTGCTTAGTATGTATACACAAGGATAAGTCATTCAGTATCCACAACACTTGGAGGAAATTAGAGTGATTTTTAAATTTCCCATTTCAAATATCTCCTCTGTTTTCTCTCCTTTCCCTTATGACGTCTCTAAATAAGCTTCCTCTAACTGCCAGCAAGTCTGATTTCATTGGATTCGACTGTTTTCAGTCCCATTTAGAGGCAGGGTTAAGTACATTTAAAATAATAATCAAATATTATTTTGTTTCTCCTCCCAGGGCTTTTGGAAGTTTGACATGGAATGTTACAAGAAGTATGGAAAAATGTGGGGGTGAGTATTCTGGAAACCTCCATTGGGTAGACTGTTTCTATGATGAAGTTACCCCAGCACAGAGGACAGTCTCAGCCCAGAGCCTCTTAGGATGAAGCTCTTGTCAACCTAACTACAAACAGAGGTTCTCTGAAAGAAGAGGATAATTATTGCAGTGGGAATCTGTGTGCCATTTTAAACTATATGCAAATTCAGGGGGTAAAGCAAGACAAAGATGCTCCAAGGAAAATAGGAGGGGGGTTTCATATCAGTTTTGAAATAATTATCCTTCCCTATAAAGATCAATAACAAGGGTGGCTCCACACCAAGGTTGAACAGGCAGTTGCTGGGCAGGTGTTCTTGAAAAACTATTTTTGTGTAAGGTTGGGATGGCCTTTGTGCAAGCTTGTGGTTTTGCAAAGTCTTTCATGGTAGTTTTATCAGGCACACAAGCATGAGAATCCCCTCTTCATAGCCTTATTTGTCAGGGTTCACACACACACAGTGACGTCACCTTGCTTCTGACAACGTTCACACTCGCTATTGTAACATTTTCAAGGCTTGTCCTACCAAGGATCCGTGTCACCAGGTGTCAGGCTCCTCAGTCTGAACTAGGCTGGGAGCATTGTGGTTACAACTCTTCTCCAGGCTTTGTTGGCTCAGGGACTCCCAGCGTTGCCTTCTGTCCAGTGGCTGCCTATTCCCCTTTTCCTTTTTCCTTCCTTAGGTGCCCGTTTATCACATGCATTGTTTCAGACTCCTCTAATATGTGCTCATAAATGCATGACATCATCTCCTTCCCACATGGACTCACTTCCAATTAAAAGCCTAAACCCTTTCATTTAAACTTTGGGATTAATGTACTTTTAAAAGAAGGGTTGAGAGATACAGAGAAACAGACTGGGAAACCATTTATACTCTGCTGTTTGTTGTTTTTTTTTTTTCACTTTCTCTGCAAGTGTGGAATTTTTCCTTCCATTTTGTTATTAAATTTAAGCCAAGACTTTTTAATAGAAGGATATACAAGTACTTACTGGTTTATACCATTTTGCTTACTTTGAAGAAGAGATGCTGAATATTCTTAAACCACTGTGTTCCCTGGGGGCAGATGGACTGATTTTATCAGGTGGCCTCAACCAATTGCAGCAGCTGTTCCCTGTCAGAGGTGCTAGCGGTTTGGTGAGAGCAGTGGAGGAGGTGCGGTGCTGTGTTTGTTCACTAGAAGCAGGTGGGAGAAGCTTTTGCCTCTGTGCTTCTTCATCTTCTCTCACTAAGTCCTCAGAAACCTCAGTGCCGGCTGCGGGGTGCTGTGGAGCTGGCACCGCCCATCCAGGCAACACGACTGAGTAGAAACAACACACAGCTCAGGATGTCCATGGGCCCACACCAACTGCCCCTTGCAACATTTAGTCCTTGTGAGCTTCTGATGATTTACCTGCCTTCAATTTTTCATGAACCTAATATTCTTTTCAAAAATGAGATATTTTGGGCTGGGTGCAATGGCTCATGCCTGTAATCTTAGCACTTTGGGAGGCTAAGATGGGCAGATCACGAGGTCAGGAGATCAAGACCACCCTAGCTAATATGATGAAACCCTGCCTCTATTAAAAATACAAAAAATTTTGCGGCATGCACCTGTAGTCCCACCTATTCGGGAGGCTGGGGCAGGAGAATTGTCTGAACCCAGGAGGTGGAGGTTGCAGCGAGCCAAGACAGTGCCACTGCACTCCAGCCTGGGTGATGGAGTAAGATTCCATCTCAAAAAAATATATATATATTTAGACATATGAGACATCATGGAGAATGGCATGGGAAATACCCATGTATGCACCACCCAGCTTAACAAATGCTCTCCTGTATTTCTAACCATGATCTCTTTGAAGAGCTCTTTTGTCTTTCAATGTCTCTTCCCTGTTTGGCCCACATTACCCTTTAGTCATACGAAGACTTGGGTGGCTCCTGTGTCAGACTCTTGCCATGTGTCATACCTAATGAACTAGAACCTAAGGTTGCTGTGGATTGTACAAGCAGGGGATTATGTAATGTCAGGATCAAAACCTGGCTTCCAGGGTTTGGCTCCTGTTGTAGAATAAGGCTGCTGATGTTTAATCAACTCTGTTTTTTTCCACACAGGATTTATGATGGTCGACAGCCTGTGCTGGCTATCACAGATCCCAACATAATCAAAACAGTGCTAGTGAAAGAATGTTATTCTGTCTTCACTAACCGGAGGGTAAGCATCTATTTTTTAAACTTTAAATGCTGATTGATTAAATTTTTATTTTGAAATTCTTATATATTTATAGACAGTTCCCTAAAAAATGTTCAGGAAGGTTCCACGTACGCTTTATCCTGTTCCCCCAATGGTAACATCTTGCAATCTTGCATAACTATATAGTATATTCATGTTACTATAGTACAGAAAATTGACATTAATACATTGATACAGTTTACAGAGCTTATTCAGATTTCACCAGTTTTATGTGCCCTCATTTGTATATTTGTATGTGTATTTTTTTTTTTTTTTTTTTTTTTTTGTGTGTGTGTGTGTGTGTGTGTGTGTGTGTGTGTGTTTGAAACAGAATCTTGCTCTGTCGCCCAGGCTGGAGTGCAGTGGTGCAGTCTTCGCTCACTGCACCCTCTGCCTCCCGGGCTCAAGTGATTCTCCTTCCTCATCCTCCCTACAAGTAGCTGGGACTACAGGCACAGACCACCATGCCCAGCTAATTTTTCTATTTTTAGTAGAGACAGGGTTTCACCAAATTGGCCAGGCTGGTCTTGAGTGTGTGTGTAGTTCTGTGCAAATTTATCACATTCGTAGACTTGTGCGATGATCAGCATGATCAAGATGAATACCCATTCCATCACCATGTGGCTCCCTTCTGCTATCCTACAGTCACAAGTCTTTTTCACTGATAGGGTCTATATCAGAGCAAACTTTTTTTTTTTTAAATTTCGAGGAGGCCAATGTATTAATATTTCCTTTTATGGATTGTGCTTTGGGTGTCAAGTCTGAAAGTTCTTTGCCTAGCCCTTCTTCCTATATTGCTGTTTGTTTCTAAAAGTCATAAAGTTTAATGCTTTACTAAATGTAACTCTATTATCCATTTTGTGTTATTTTTTGCATAAGGTAGGAGATTTAGATCAAGGTTCATTTTTTTGTGGCTTTTGGCTGTCCAGTTGTTCCAACACCATTTTTGGAAAGGTGGGCATATTGTTAAAAATCAGTTGGGCTTATTTCCATGCATCTCTCATTTGCTATTCTGTCCCATTGATCACCATGTTTATTCCTCCACCAATACTACACTGTCGTGACTCTAGTAGCTGTACAGTAACTCTTTTTTTTGTTGTTGTCAATAAAAGCTTTAGGAATATCTGCACATGTACATTTACATTCAAGTTGATAACATAGTTTATTTCAATACAAATTATGCTAGAGAATGCTTACATTTCAGACATGGTCATACATGTGCTATTTGAAATTCTTCATCTTGATACAGATCTTGATTGTGAATCTCTTGATGATAGATATGCAGCTAATTTGTCCCAAAACTCATGAAGATAACTGTATTGCTTGATGATATGTATTGCCCCAGATCCTCTTAGGTTATGCAGGCTGTCTATGGCTTGCTTTGGTGATACTGTGTCTGACACGCTGTACAGTAACTCTTAACATTATGTAGAGTGATTCTTCCCACTTTTATTGACTTATTTTTTCAGATTTGTTTCAGCTTTTCCTGGTCTTCTGTTTTTCCATAAAAATTCAGAGTGAGTTTATCAGTGTCTATAAATAAACCTGTTATTTTGACAAGAATTGAATTAAATGTATAGATCAACTTAGGGAAAATCTGTATCTTTACTATGTTTGGTATTTCAATTCATAAACATAGTATGCCTCTCCATTTCCTTAGGTTTCTTTTGACTGCTTTTAACATTTTGTAGTTTTCAGCATAGACATCCTGTACATGTTTTGTTAGATTTACTGCTAAGGTATTTCATTTTTGTTGGAGTGACTCTAAATTATATTATGTTTTTCTTGTATTTTCATATATTAATTGTTGTTACATAGAAATGTGCTTGGTTTTTGTGTGTTGATCTTGTATCCTAGAACCTTGCAAAACTTAGTAGTTCTACAAAGTAGTCTTTTTGTATATTCCTTGAGATTTTGTACATTGACAATTATGTCACCTGGAAATGGAGACAATTCTTTTATTTCCTTTCCAATTTGTATGCCTTTTATTTCTTTTTTCTTGTCTACTGCATTAGGACTTCCCAGTATAATGTTGAGTAAATGTGGTGAATTTTTGAATTGTTCCTAATCTTAGGAGGGAAGCATTCAGTCTTTCATCATTAAGCATGATGAAGTGGGTTGGTTGGTTTTTTTTTTTGTAGATTCCCTTTATCAAATTGAGGAACTTTCTCTCCCTAATTTGCTGAGTTTTTATCATAAATGAGTGCTGGAAGTGCTCATTATAAAACAAAATATGGTTATGGAAGATGAAAGAAAGTTTCAAGCATGTTGGCTTGATAGGCCAGTTCCAAGTTGGCAAAAATAATTATCTCTTTTTCTTTCTATCTATGGAATAAAAAATTAAGAGAAGGAATAAAAAATTAAGAGAAAAGAATTTTCATGGAATCTCACTATTTCTTCAAAATACATTCCTAGTTTTAAAATTTTTACCTACTATTTTTTAAAAATCACCACATCAAGGCACCTCTTTTTCAAGTTATCCATTTTGTAGGTGAACATAAAGACAGAGCTTGTCTGAGGCCACATACAGTCCAGCAAAGCCATCTGCCTGTCTGTCACCACTCCCTCTCTACACTGCATAGTCCTGGGGGCAAGTGCTAGGTCTTCATCCTGTCTATTCCACTGGAAGACCAGGTTCCCTACCATGTGGAGAATTTGCATACAAAAGGAGACTGGGATATAGAGGCTGGAGACCACATCAGGTGGCTGGGTCTCTTGAACACTGCCCCACATGCAAATACATCCCAGGACATTGGGCATCTGGGATAAATCTCTATTGAGCATCTAGCATAGGGCCTGTCACCTAGTAGATAGTCACTAAATATTTGTTAATGTGATGCCTGTTTAATACATTTTCTACAACCATGGCGATCTCCACAACTGATGTAGGACAAAATGTTTCTGCTTTGAACTCTAGCCTTTCGGTCCGGTGGGATTTATGAAAAGTGCCATCTCTATAGCTCAGGATGATGAATGGAAGAGAATACGATCATTGCTATCTCCAACCTTCACCAGTGGAAAACTCAAAGAGGTATGAAAATAACGTGAGTTTTAATTAGAAACTTAAAGAATGAAGCTGATGGGGACAGGTAGAAAGTAAGATCACAATCCCTTTCTGAAGGTTAGTCCACTGAATTTGAGCTTCCTAAAAATGGTCTTTTATGTTTATGTACAGAAAAGACATCAAAAAATTCATTATCAAATGTCACTTATTGCTCCATGCTGGAGAAAGCCATGTCCTTCTGGGACTTGAGTCTGCGCATTAACTATGGGTTGTGGTGTGTTTTGTGCTTAGATGGTCCCTATCATTGCCCAGTATGGAGAGGTGTTGGTGAGAAACCTGAGGCGGGAAGCAGAGAAAGGCAAGCCCATCAACATGAAAGAGTAAGTAGGAGCACAGCCATGGGGTTCTGAGCCATCATTAGCCCCTCCAGCTGCCTGCCATGGAGCTAATATTGCCACTGTTGGGTTATTCCAGTGACCAGACAAAAGGAGGGCTGTGATATTGCAACTCCCATGGGTCACCCAAGATGGGGCAGCTTCCATGAGGAGGTGGGGCAGCTGGAGGTAAAGGGTCTTCTCCCCTGTGCACACGAGCCACAATTTACTTATTCTGATAAACTGTCACCTTGAATATTCTGGAAGACTAAATACATAGTTTAGGGGGAAAAAAGCATGATTATACCAAAGTTTTAAGTATGGAGTGTATGGGATGGTGGAAATGGAAGGCACTTGGTATCTGTTGGTTGGCAGCGAGTAGGGTGGGAAAGTTATAATGGAAAACTTTAAATAACTTTGATCCTTTCACGGTTTTTCTGAGGATATCAGTAACATACAAAAGATTAAACATTCCCACTACTACTTTTTCCTCCAGTCTTAAAGAGAAAGGATGCTAGAAACACCATAGGTAGGGCAAACCTATTATTTGCTGTCTACACTAGTATGTGCTTCAATTTTGCAGGAACAATGGGTGTCATCTGAGCCTGTCCTGGGCAGACTGGGGATATGTGGTCACTTAGGTATAGGAATTTCCAAATCAGTTTTTGAGAGATTATTTTTAACCAGGACATTCTTGGTCATTATATTTTACAAAAATGATTCTGCCATCAGGGCAACCTCAGCTCACAAGAACTGGGGATAGTGAAACTTTCCAAAGCTTTAGCAGGGATTGTAGAGAATAAGGACAATATTTCTGGGGGCTCAGAACAGGGTGCTGCTGTTTTGTAAAGTGCTGAAGAGGAATCAGCTCTGGGCATAGAGTCTGTAGTCAGACATCACCTTTCTTGAATCCACTAGGAAGAGTTAATTATTCCACTCTTGTCCTGCTAAAGCACAGTGCTTACACATCTCGTATCATCCACACTCAACACATGCTACTGTAGTTGTCTGATAATGGGTCTCTGTCTTTCTATGACTGGGTTCCTTGACCTCAAAGGTGAGTCTAACTCAGCTCAGTGTCTCCATCACACCCAGTGTAGGGCCAGCTACATTGCTAGCACCTGATAACCACCTTCTGAGGGAGTGTGATGGGAGATGATCCAGCAGATAGTTCTGAAAGTCTGTGGCTCTTTACCTGTCTTGACTGGACATGTGGGTTTCCTGTTGCATGTATGCTGGAGGAATGGTAAAGAGGCGCTGATTTTAATTTTCCATGTCTTTCTCCACTCAGCATCTTTGGGGCCTACAGCATGGATGTGATCACTGGCACATCATTTGGAGTGAACATCGACTCTCTCAACAATCCACAAGACCCCTTTGTGGAAAGCACCAAGAAGCTTTTAAGATTTGACTTTTTAGATCCATTCTTTCTCTCAATAAGTATGTGAACTACTATTTCCTTTTCTCTCTCTTTTAAAAATAACTGCTTTATTGAGATATAATTCACATACCATGTAATTCATCCACTTAAAATATACAGTTCAGTGGTTTGCAATGTGCTTGAAGACATGTGTGACCATCACCATTGTAAACCCTAAAACATTTTTGTCAATCTAGAGACCTCATACACTTTAGCTATCAACCCCTGCCACAAACCCTGTCATCATATGCAACACTAATCAGCTTTCTGCCTCTTTATGTTTATGTACAGAAAACATAAAGAGGCAGAAAGTTGCCTATTCTGGATACTTCATAGAAATGGTATTAATTTATCAGTTTTTTAATTCTCTGATTCATGAATTTGTACTTTAGGCTGTATCATTTTCTTTCTTCTGCTGGCTTTAGGCTTAGTTTGCACTTCTTTGTTTACCGTGTTGTGGCATGAATGTAGATTATTGATTTGTGATTTTTTGTTCTCCTAAGTTTAGACATTATAGCTATAAGTTTCCCTCTGAGCACTTCCTTTGCTAAATCCCATGAGTTGTTGGCATATCACATCTTAATTTGTTTTCACCTCAAAACAGTCTCTATTTGCCCTTTGGGTTTCTACTTTGACTCATTGGTTACTTAAGAGTTTATATTTAACTTCCACATATGTGTGAGTTTCCCAATTTTCTTTCCCTTATTGATTTTAGCTTTATTCCATGATAGGTGACAGAGATATGCTATGTTATTTCTATCATGACTACTATTTCTTCAACAGCATGATTAATTTAAGCAGCAGATTATGATTTGGGTTATCCTAAGAGACTCTAGTCCAATAGATAAAGGCTAAGAAATTAGGGCATTGAATTTTGTTCCTTTCATCATTCGAAAGATGCAGAAGGGGCTGCTGATCTCACTTCTGTAGTGGTGGTCCCTATGTGTAGAGCCCTTGCTCAGCCACTGGCCTGGAAAATGGGTAAAAGTCATAGAAGGAATGGCTTCTAGTTGAGAACCTTGATGTCGTTTACTCTTCTGATTGGAGAGAAAATTAGAATTGCTCTGGTAAAATGTGCATGTTCACAATGGTTTCCTTTTCTTTTGTTTTGTTTTTCCTACAGCAATCTTTCCATTCCTTACCCCAATTCTTGAAGCATTAAATATTTCCATGTTTCCAAGAGATTCTACAAGTTTTTTAAGAAAATCTATAAAAAGGATAAAAGAAAGTCGCCTCAAAGATACACATAAGGTAAAATCTGGTGGTAGTTATAGGAGGATGTTTATTTTTTCATAATTTGTTTGATAATATACATATGATCGGTGCACTTACCTGTATGTTTTAAAAGAGAGATTTTAACATAAAGAGTACCTATGTCTAGAGCAGGAGAATTCATCTGGTAGGAATGCAGACGGTGTAGTTTGGAGAAGGAGATATGAGAATGAGTCAGAGACAGCACTTAAAATTTGTTATCAGGCACAACAATTAGTATGTCATGGCATAAATACTACTGAGATAAAATTTTACCACTTCACTTCCCTTCAATAAATTGTCAAAGGATAAACATTACTGTTTGGAATATATTTTACTGGTATTATACTTTCCCCAGATCATAGATTGGTAAAGAGTCATTTCAAATACAAGCCTGTTATTTTACACATTCTGCAATGAAAGGCCCTATCAGGCCACCTGCTGAAGTATAGTGTGTGTTACATCTGAGCCCTTTCACAACCTGAAGTGAACAGAGGTCTTCTCTGGGATTGAGGCTGCAAGGCTGGCTAACTCAACTTTGCTTTTATGAGCCCTAGAGGGCAGCCAAAGAATGTCTGCAGGTCAGGGAGGCAGGACTGGGTAACCCAGGTGTCAATGAAGATTGTATAGAGTTTGGGAATGTTGGAGTATTTCAAGATGCTCCCACCAAAGCTGCTAAGTTCTGGAAATGTCAGGAGATTAATCTTTGTGGACATGGGGAAGAAGACAAGAATAAAAGGTCCAGGACTTCTTCATGGGTACCAGTTATGACCACAGAAAGAGCTAGCAACTTTTTGGCCAGGAAGCTGTGTCCAAAAGACAGAGGACTGAGGATCAGGAAGGAGCAAAGACCAAAAAGCAATTGAATATGATAACCAGATTTGTTTCAGGAAAACATCTTGCTTTCCAAGGATTTAGATGGATAATTTTTTCACTGGTGACTCAGGCAACACCCATCAGATTTCTGGTCTTCAAGGGGCCATATTCTCAGAAGGGAGGTTGAGGACTGCACTTCTGTTTACTTCTGATTTCATGAGTCACTTCCTGTCAATGTAATGTCTCTTTTTGCTTCTAGCACCGAGTGGATTTCCTTCAGCTGATGATTGACTCCCAGAATTCGAAAGAAACTGAGTCTGACAAAGGTAACCAAAGAGTGCTTCTGGGGGCTGCTGGTGGGGACACTAAGAGGGAGGTCCTTGTTCTGAAAATGTGCAGGAAGTATTCGAGGAAGATGAGAATTTCTGCCACATAGCAGAACGACACGTTTGGATGTATAATTGGTAGCAGAGGCACTTTCTAGGGGCATACAGGCATAGATAGCCATGTTCTAAGCTTGAAGGGCAACCCTAAGCAAACCTGGCATGCCATAAAGTAAGCGGTCTGTGGATCACCTACATCAGATCAAATGCCAGTTCTCAGTCTCCTCCAGATCCACTGAAACACAACTTCTGCCTGGAAATGTATTAGGTTGCCGCAAAAGTAATTGTGGTTTTTGTCATGACTCTTAATAGCCAAAACCGCAGTTCCTTTTACAGCAACCTAATACATCTAACATCCAGTCAGGAGACACTGTCCAAATAAGGGTGATTTTAACTGGCAGGACTTGCTGAAAGTGTGTTCACCAGGTTAATCTACTGCAAAGTTAGTTTTTCCCTTTCGAATGGGTAAGTAACTTGTAGGGGAAATCTCTGAGACCATGTAAATATCCTCTTTGTCTTTAATCTTTCACCTACTTGTTTTACAACCCACGTATGGTTTTTTACCAAAGTCATTATTATTATGACAGTGGCAAAATGATGACCATGGTCAATTTCAAGCCACCAGGATTTGGCAACCATCTCACAAAATTCCTGAATATTTACCCATTGGTTCTAGAGAGCAGGACTGGGGTAATTCTAGTAGTCTGCTTTAAATATGTCCATGTCTACATCTACTTCTTTCTGTCAATCATCTATCAATTATCTGTCCATCTATCATCTATCTACTTATCTATTCTCTATCATATATCATCTATCTATCTATTAATCTATCCCAATACAACTTGCTGTGATAAAGGAAACAGTCTATTGTTTTACTGTTTCATATAGAAATCACTAGACACATATGGCTATTGAGCACTGGACATGTGGCTAGTGCCACTGAAGAACAATTTTAAATGGTATTTAAGTTTAATTGAATGAAATTTGATTTTACATAGCCACATGTGGATAGGGGCTACCTTACTGGACAGGAGAGCTCTAAACTTTGAGCTTATAGTTCAATTCCACATCAGTATCATCAGGTTCATGGTAACTGAATACAATTATTAGATAGTTGAATTTACCCACAACTACATCACAGAAATCTTCACTGGTAAATCACAGCTCTGTTGACCTTTCTCACACTCATTTCATATTGGTTTTGGTTGTGATCTACATAGTTGGAGCAGGCACCATATTTATTTCTGTGTTCCAGGTCTCTAAGGTCCTAATCCAGTCCTAATCAAATAGATGAGTGATGGAGCATACTGAGCTTCTCTCAGGAAAAAAAATTGAGAGGGGGGCCAACTTGCAATCACAGGAGCTGATGCAATTTTAATGCTATTCATCAGACTACAGTCAGTCACCAATCATATAGCTTTTTGTCCATCTCTAGTTCCTGTATATCCTGAGATAGCAAATTCTGAAAACTGTAGCCTAGATCTATCACCTAACACCTTTCAAAGATATCCATGCTTCTCAAGCTAGGCTATGCAAACAAATCACTGATCTTGTGAAAGTTCAGATTTTGAATCAGTAGTTCAAGGGTGGGGTTTGAGATTTTGCATTTCTAATAAACTCCTAGATGCTTCTGAACTGTGGAACACACTTTGAGTAGCTAGAGGTGGTCTGTAGTCCAATATTGGTCCCTTAAATTCCCTCAAACATATCTACAGGAAAGGTCCTTTAATTTTCCCTATATTTAACCATTCATGTTGCAAATTCCCTCAAAGTTGGTCAAGATATATTGTAGCTAAAATAAATTACATTTTTCTTGGGGGAGAAGACTACCCCATATTAATTTACAATAAAGTACTTTTAGGATCATTCAAGAAGCACATCCATAAAACTGAGTAGGTTATGTAGAAACACTCTCTCTGGAAATTACCCAGCTGTGCAGGTGGCGGGGATGGCATGAGGAGGAGTGGATGGCCCACATTCTTGTATACCTTGGGGAAAACTGGATGAAAATGATTTGCCTTGTTCTGGCTCTGTAAGATACACATCAGAGTGAAACCACCCCCAGTGTGACTCTGAATTGCTTTCAGAGGCTTCACTTAGATTTCTCTTCTAAACTGTGACGCCCTCCATTGACCTGATTTACTTAAAATGTCTTTCCTCTCCTTTCAGCTCTGTCTGATCTGGAGCTCGTGGCCCAATCAATTATCTTCATTTTTGCTGGCTATGAAACCACCAGCAGTACTCTTTCCTTCATTATGTATGAGCTGGCCACTCACCCTGATGTCCAGCAGAAACTGCAGGAGGAAATTGATGCAGTTTTACCCAACAAGGTGAGTGGATGACCCCTGGAGATGAAGGGAAGAGGTGAAGCCTTAGCAAGAATGCCTCCTCACCACTTCCCAGGAGAATTTTCGTAAGCATAATCATGATTCTTTCACTGACACTATGTAGGAAGGCTCTGAGGAGAAAAACAAAGGGAGAAACATAGGAATGGTTGCGACTGGCGGGTCTATAAGATCTTTGTAAAACAGTGCTGGCCCCGGTTCATCTGCTTTTTGTTACCACAATAATGCTGTTAAAAACATCCAAAAACCTCAGTGGCATTCAGCAATAAGCATTTGTTGCTCCCATATCTGGATAGTGAGTGAGCTCTGCTGATATTGCTCTGGTCTGGCTGTGGTCTGACAGAGCTTGGTCCTGAGTGTTCTGCACAGGCTGACTCAGCTCTGCCCCACACCTGTCTCATGTTCCAGTAGGTGGCTACTGGTGAAGAAGCCAAGCGAGGAACCAGGATATCTGACTCCTGAACTAAACTCTTAACCTCTATAATATTGCCTTTCAAATATAACACCAAGTACAAGGGGCATATCACCCACACCGTTTTCAGGCCTCTGCCAAAACTGGGACTCTTTGTGGTATGAAGAAACCTAGCTTCTGGGGCTAGCCCTGGTGTGGCAGGGAGGTGAACACAAAGGGATAGAGATTACAGTCCAGCCCTGAAGCAACAAGGAGACGGTTTCAACAAATGAGGACAGGGCTGTTCCAGCCTCTTTATAACTTTCACTAGCACTGAAATTGTGTGCTCTGGTAACATCCAACCAGAACCTTCTTTTGCCACATTTGGGATAGAAAGGGACTAGTTTATTCTCAAGTTATTGATAGAGATTTTATATAATATAGTGTTTCTCTTCATATTTATTTATATAACAAAAGTCTGGTTTTTTGTACACACACACATATAATACAAATCCTGCTTTGTAACTCTTGTTGTTTGTATGTATAACAAAAAGTTACCATGCAGGACTTTGCAACCAATAATCCTTGTGTGGCACAGAGAATTTGCTCTTTATATCTGTTTTTACTTTCCTGGTTACAGGCATGTGACTTCTTTTTTGAAAGGTGACAGTCACTTTATCACATTTTATTTGATGCTAGTGGTCATAGCCTATTAGTCACATCTATTTCCATGAGAAAGAAAAACCACTATAGGGTTATGCTAAAGATTTTAGTACCTGGGTGAGGACGGCGCCGAATGTCTCCTACCTTCATTATTCCTCCACCCATCTCAGTGGGCCTTCAGCACATCAATGGGCATGACAGTCATTAAAATACTTTATGAATGCTACGATCCTTTACCAGTATAAGTTAGTCTCTGAAGCTCCTAACTCTTCAGTAGTACTACATGAACTGAGTTAAAAGTTAATTCAAATTCTCAATGTATCCAAATCTGTTTCTATCTTTCCAGGCACCAGCCACCTATGACACTGTGCTACAGATGGAGTATCTTGACATGGTGGTGAATGAAACACTCAGATTATTCCCACTTGCTATGAGACTTGAGAGGGTCTGCAAAAAAGATGTTGAAATCAATGGGGTGTTCATTCCCAAAGGGGTAGTGGTGATGATTCCAAGCTATGCTCTTCACTATGACCCAAAGTACTGGACAGAGCCTGAGAAGTTCCTCCCTGAAAGGTACAAGGCTCCCGGGAAGGGAGCCCTCCCTGAACCAGACTGGTTCAAGCATATTCTGCCTCTCTTAATCTATAGGACAGTCATGTGGTTGTACAATCATTTGCTTGTCTTTTTAAAAAGTTTTTTAAAAATCATCAAATTGATCATTGTCACACTTTACAAACCATAGACTAGAAAAAAGAAAGCTACAGCTACCCACAGTCCCAACAACTTAAGATGAAGGTCATCAATTATGTCCCAAAATATATGGACTCTTTTAAAACACATGATCATAATGCTATTATTATTTATCCCTCAAATGAATATTTTTTCCTTAATATAATCAAATATTTAGGAATCAAATTTGGATAAATTTTTTTATTGGATCTAATCTTCAAAGAATTTATAGCTTAGTGGAACAGACAAAGCAGTGATGATACTGCTATACATCAGTACAGAAGCATCATATGGCCATGTAAATTATCTGACTTAAACTATTTTATGGAGGAGTGGGGGAGAAAGGCGGAGAAACAGGGAGAAATGGAGAGAACAAGAGGGAGGGAGGAGACAGAGGAGAATTAGACAAGAGAGGAGAGGAGAAGGAAGTTGCAAAACAACAATTTTGAAATAGTGCAAGACAATTTTCCCTTCTCCTTCTGCATGACCAACACAAATGTGAATTGAGGCAGGAAACTACTTTTCCATCAATTGGTCTCATCACTTACTTGCCTTTTATACTGTCAACACATCACCACCATGAATATAATTTTAGTGTTTAGAAATAAATATTCTTGGCCAGGCATGGTGGCTCACGCCTGTAATCTCAACACTTTGGGAGGCCGAGGCAGGCGGATCATGGTCAAGAGATCGAAACCATCCTGACCAACATGGTGAAACCCCATCTCTACTAAAAATACAAAAATTAGCCAGGTGTGGTGGTGGGCACCTGTAGTCCCAGCTACGTGGGAGACTGAGGCAGGAGAATCACTTGAACCTGGGAGGCAGAGGTTGCAGTGAGCCAAGATTGTGCCACTGCACTCCATCCTGGGCAACAGAGTGAGACTCCATCTCAAAAAGAAAGAAAGAAAGAAATAAAGATTCTGTGCAACACCATTTATCTCATCTCAACCAGACTGAAAGCTCCTATAGTGTAAGGAGAGTAGAAAGGATCTGTAGCTTACAATTCTCATAGCAAAATAAGCATAGCAGGATTTCAATGACCAGCCCACAAAAGTATCCTGTATACTACTAGTTGAGGGGTGGGCCCTAAGTAAGAAACCCTAACATGTAACTCTTCAGGGTATTATGTCATTAACTTTTTAATCTACCAATCTGGAACTAGGTTCAGTAAGAATAACAAGGACAACATAGATCCTTACATATACACACCCTTTGGAACTGGACCCAGAAACTGCATTGGCATGAGGTTTGCTCTCATGAACATGAAACTTGCTCTAATCAGAGTCCTTCAGAACTTCTCCTTCAAACCTTGTAAAGAAACACAGGTAAGTCAATTTTTGTATAAATAATGTTTTATTGAGAATTCTTTTAACTGAATGGTCTATATTTTTTAAAAAGAATATGCTCATTTAATCTTTTAATAATTTCTTCTATGGGCCAAAGAATATATGTGGACCCATCTATGATCTTTAAGGGTGCTTCTGTTGTGGAGTCAAAAAGCTATAGCATTAAAAACATCATGTAAAGTCAATGTAGATTAGCATGCCATGATTATGTGCAGTCTCTTTGAACTTGAGCAAAATTTAAATTCCGTTTCAAGTTGATTGGAAAGATAAGTATTTTGGACAATCATTAAGTGCAATGATTACCTTGTTTTGACTTTTGAATGATGCTCTCCCTCACCAGAACTTACAGAGGCTTTCTCATGTCAGTGGCTCCCAACCACTAGCTGTATATTTGAATCACCATGGAGCTTTAAAAATTTATGATGCCTGGGACATCTCAGAAATTCTAAACTAATTTTCCCAGAGTGTGGCTTTAAAAGCTCCCACATTGTTTCTTATGTGAAGCCAAGGTTGAGAATCACTAATTTAAGCATTTCTGGCAGACATGAAGGACTACCACAGTCCAAGACCATCCTGACTGACCTCACCTTCCAGATGCCTAGCTCCATCCAACTGGGCTACTTTTCAACCCAGTTATAACTATTAATGTTCTTTCCTCTTTCTTCCTCATTCTATTCTTATCTTTCAAGTCCTAGTTCAATTCCCAAGCCCTTCCAAAGTGTCTTCTCCACCTAGTCCAGGGTCCATTTACTCCTCTGCTCTGTTATTGGTTACTGGAGGCTATTATCATATAATTTCAAAATTTGCTATTATTAAATCACTGAGTTTTGTTCTCTATATTTTCTCTGTATCTAAGAATATCTTCCTTCCTCAACTAACAATATCCTCTCATTTTGCTCCTTTTAAAATAACCCAGTGGTGCCTTACAAGAGGCTTTATCTAATGCAAGCATTTGGTAAATATTTGAGGAGTGATGTACAGTCAATCTGCTTACATACAAACATTAAGCTATTTAATGTGACCATTTGACAAATGACATTTATGTATATATGTGTATGTGTGTGCACATGTGCATGTCCATGTCTGTCTGCAGGGAAATATATTCATGCCTTTTGAAATTTTTTAAATAATAAGGTTTTATATTTATAGAAAGATTAGGAATCTTTTCCCTGAAGAAGTTAAAAAACAAAAGTCATTGATTCATATTAAGCAAGACCCTATCAATCTTATTTCTAGGTCTCATGTATTATGCAATGCTGCCCCTTAAGTAAGCTTTCTACATAGGAGAGGAAGAAGATAGATATTATTTCCATATTCCATATTATTTATAGCTCCATGCCAGCTGTGTAGCTATCCTATATGTGTGCTTAGACAGGGGACTCAGCCCTGAGAGAAAGTGGTCCTCTGGCACACCTGGGATGGGGAAGGTACACCCTGGTAAGCTTCCAAGCTGGCGCTTCTTGATCTCTGTGGCAGTTTTCTTGCCCATTACTCTGTGGAGATCAGAATATCACTCTGTTGTGTCCCCTCAATACTGAAGGAGTGTCTCAGTAAGAATGGGGCTAAAAAAAACAAAACAAAAAAAAATGGGGCTAAAAGTTGAGTCAAAACACTGTAAGAATTGAGGAGTTCCCCACTTGCACTACTCTTGGAAGCCAAAGGGAGATGTGAAAAAATAAAATGAAATAATGCTTACTGAAGGTGTCTTCCCATCTTTATACTGGGTGGGTTCAATTGGGAGGAATTACTGGACTCTGGAAGTTGAAGACTGTCCATATAATTAAAATGTATAATACCTACTCAGGATCACCTTGAAGGTTTCAACATACACAAAATTAACTTTATATGACTCTTCAAAAATAGTTTGCCATCATACCTTGTATGATGCTTTGTGAACATATGAAAACTACTTTCACCACACCTTTTGGATTTAAATTGCTTTAGATTTTAAAAACTCATCCATTTTACTTACAATTTAAATCCAAAAGGAACACAGGTTCCCATGAATTTGTCTCAAGCCTGGCACAGAATAGGCGCTCCATAAATATTTTGTTAAATGATAGATGACAAATTGTCTCACTATCCAATCTTCACACATTATAGAGTAAGTATAAAGAATCTAAGATTTATAGTGGTGAAAGTAGTTTTCATATGTTCACAAAGCATTATTGTCATTAATGCTTTTTTTAAACTTTGATGCTATACTTTCTACTTTTGCTTTATTTAATGCTTCTCAATATGCTTAACTGTTGCAGATCCCCCTGAAATTACGCTTAGGAGGACTTCTTCAAACAGAAAAACCCATTGTTCTAAAGGTTGAGCCAAGGGATGGGACTGTAAGTGGAGCCTGAATTTCCCTAAGGACTGCTTTGCTCTTGAAGAAAGCTGTGCCTCAGAACATCAGAGACCTCAAATTACTTTCTGAATAGAACTTTGAAATAAAGATGGGCTTAATCTAATGTACTGCATAAATAACTGGGGATTATGTACATGCATTGAGCTATCTCACTGTCTGTGTAGAGTGTTACAGTTGGTAATATAAAGGAGGTGACCTAGATTTGGCTTCTCTGCTTCTCAAAGGACTATCTCCTTCACCCCCAGTTAGCACCATTAACTCCTTCTGCATTCTAAGAGAATAAACATTTCTCAATAATTTCATCCACAATTATTAATGAAAATAAGAATTATTTTGATGGCTCTAAGAGTGATATTTATATGAGATGTTTTATCAGGAGTATTCTATGAAAGTTTTATATTAAGCAAATAAATAAAAATCTCTTTACGAAAGTATTATTGCATGCTTTCCTGCACATAAGGAGAAATCTATTGAAGTGAATAACTGAGAACCAACAAGTAAATATTTTTGATCATCATAGCTGCTGTTGGTTTGGGGCCTTTGTCAGAACTCCAATTTGATTACTAACGTAGGTGAGAGTTAATCCACTGTGTCTTTGCCCATTATTTAGAAAGAACATTCACAGTTTAATTATGACTTTTTTGACTGGGCACAGTGGCTCACACCTGTAATCCCAGAACTTTGATCACCTGAAGTCAGGAATTCAGGACCAGCCTGGGCAAAATGTTGAAACCCATGTCTACTAAAAATACAAAAATTAACTGTGTGCAGTGGCACGAGCCTGTAATCTCAGCGACCCAGGAGGCTGAGGCAGGAGAATCACTTGAACCTGGAAGGTGCAGGTCACAGTGAGCTGCAATTGCAGCACTGCACTCCAGCCTGGGTGACACAGTGAGACTCCATCTCAAAATATATTTTGTAACATAAAACTGTAACTCAAAACTAATAGTAAGAGCTTATGTTTTCAGCCTATCTCCCCTGATATTTCTGGGAGAAGGAAACGTTTTCTTATACCTTTTGCATTCCATCCTCAACTCCTGTCTTAATACAATGAACACTTAATAAAAAAGTCAGTTGGTCAATTGACTGGGCAACAAGGCTAAAAGCATTCATTCCTTTTCTTTTCCTATTCCTTCCTTTACTTTCCCTTTCTGAAGAATTTAGTCCTAAAGCCACTAGGTGGGTGGCAGCCAGGTGGTGGCCACACATTAAGGTAGAGAAGAGAGAGTCATGGTGTCTCCAAGTCAGAAACCAAGTATATGTTCTTGTGGAGACACAGCCTGTTCAGGGTATGGGAGTCCAAGCAAGCAGAGAAGGGTCCACACGAAGGGGTGGCCAGCAACAACTAGAGCCTAAATAGGGCCTACAGATCCCAAGCGAGGAGAGAAGGGCATCTACGAGTGGGAGGGGATGGGTGAGAGTTGGCTACATAAAGAGGATTGATCAAATAAGTAAACATATTAAGGATGATGGAAGCCAGGCTTCTCATCTTTGCAGAAGGAAGTCATGGATGCAGAAAGGAAGAAAACTAGCATGAATCCTATGAAATTAGATTGAAATGAATGTATCCATGTATATTCATACCCTTCTAGATAGATAGATAAAAGATAACAGATAGATGATAGACATAAATGTATGTATGTGTTTGTGTGTGTACAAAAACATATGTTCCCTACTTCTCTCCACTGATACGGCTAGGTAACAATGACATTTCAATAGCAATGAGCACACTTAGTGCCTAGATGTTGGCTTATGAATACCATTTTGCACTAAAGGGAACCAGAGCTCTTTAGAGAAATGGCTGATTGCAGGGCTGGGATTAAGAATGTTCAAGATAAGCCTAGGATACATTTTGCGCCAGGAAGCAAGAAACTGTTCAAATGATTTCCAAGTAATGTTTGGAAATGATATTTGAAAATGATTTCCAAACAATTTCCAAATGATATTTGGAAAAACCTAAAGATTCCACCAAAGAACAATTAGAGCTTATACACAAATTCAGTAAAGTTGCAGAATACAAAATCAACATACAAAAATCAGTATCATTTCTATCTGCCAATAGTGAGAAATCTGGCAAAAATTTAAAAAGTAATCCCATTTACAATAGCCACAAATGAAACTAAATACCTAGGAATCAAAGAAGAGGAAGATCTCTATAATGAATACTGTAGAACACTGATGAAAGAAATTAAAGAAACAAAAAGGATATTCCATGTTTATATATTGTAAGAATTGATATTGTTAAAAATGTCCAACTACCCAAAGCAATGTACAGATTCAATGCAATCCCTCAAAATGCCAATGACATTCTTCAAAGAAATAGATTTAAAAATCCTAAAATTCGTACGGAACCACAGAAGACCCAGAATAGCCAAAGCTATCTTCAGTAAAAAGGACAAAACTTGAGAAATCGTATTTCCCAATTTCAAATCATACTACAGAGGTACAGTAACCAAAACAGCATGATACTTGTATAAAAACAGACACATAGACCAATGAAATACAATAGAAACCCCAGAAACAAATCCACACATCTTCAGTGAACTCATTTTCAACAATATTGCCAAGAACATACACTGGGGAAAGAGTGTCTCTTCAATAAATGGTGCTGGGAAAGCTGGATATCACTATGCAGAAGAATGACGCTAGACCCCTATATTTCACCAGACACAAAAAGCAAATTAAGATGGATTAAAGACTGAAATCTGGCTGAGCACAGTGGCTCATGCCTGTAATCCCAGCACTTTGAGAAACCAAGGTGGGTGGATAACTTGAGGTCAGGAGTTTGAGACCAGCCTGGCCAACATGGTAAAACCCTACCTCTACCAAAAAATACAAAAGTCAGTTGGGCATAGTGGTGCATGCCTGTAGTCCCAGCTACTCAGGAGGCTGAGGTGGGAGAATCATTTGGACCCAGGAAGTGGAGGTTGCAGTGAGCCAAGATAGTGTCAATGCACCCCAACCTGGGCAACAGAGTAAGAATCTGTCTCAAAAAAAGAAAGAGTCCACGGGAAAGATGGCAGACTAGGAACAGTTCTGGTGTGCAGCTCCCAGCAAGATCGATGCAGAAGGCAGGTGGATTTCCAAATTGCTAACTGAGGGATCACAGCTCCTCGCTAGCAAGGGAACAAAACTGGATGGAGACAGAGTTTTACAAATTGACAGAGGCAGGCTTCAGAAAGTGGGTAATAACAAACTTCCCTGAGCTAAAGAAGAGATTTTTTTTGTCAGCACCAGGCCCACCCTACAAGAGCTCCTGAAAGAAGCACTAAAAATGGAAAGGAACAACTGGTACCAGCTGTTGCAAGAACATACCAAATTGTAAAGACCATCGGCGCTAGGAAGAAACCGCACCAACTAATGGGCAAAATATCCAGCTAACATCATAATGGCAGGATCAAATTCACATATAACAATATTAACCTTAGGCCAGGCGCGGTGGCTCACGCCTGTAATCCCAGCACTTTGGGAGGCCAAGGAGGGTGGATCACGAGGTCAAGAGATCGAGACCATCCTGGTCAACATGGTGAAACCCTGTCTCTACTAAAAATACAAAAAATTAGCTGGGCATGGTGGTGCGTGCCTGTAATCCCAGCAACTCGGGAGGCTGAGGCAGGAGAATTGCCTAAGCCAGGAGGCAGAGGTTGTGGTGAGCCGAGATTGCGCCATTGCACTCCAGCCTGGGTAACAAGAGTGAAACTCTATCTCAAAAAAAACAAACAAACAAACAAACAATATTAACCTTAAATGTAAATGGGCTGATAGCCTTAATTAAAAAACACAGACTGGCAAACTGGATAAAGAGTCAAGACCCACTGGTGTGCTATATTCAGGAAACCTATCTCACATGCAAAGACACATATAGCCTCAAAATAAAGGGATGGAGGATGATTTACCAAGCAAATGGAAAGGAAAAAAAAAGCAGGGGTTGCAGTCCTAGTCTCTCATAAAATAGACTTTAAACCATCAAAGATCAAAGGAGACAAGGAAGGCATTACATATTAGTAAAGGACTCAATGCACAAGAAGAACTAACGATCCTAAATATTTATGCCACCAATGCAAGAGCACTCAGACACATAAAGCAAGTTCTTAGGTACCTACAAAGACACTTAGATTCCCACACAATAATACTGGGAGACTTTAACACTCCACTGTCAATATTAGACAGATCAATGAAACAGTAAATTAACAAGGATATCCAGGACTTAAACTCAGCTCTCAACCAAGCAGACCTAATAGACATCTACAGAACCTTCCACCCCAAATCAACAGAATATCCATTCTTCTCAGCACCACGCTGCACTTATTCTAAAATTGACAACATGATTGGAAGTAAAACACTTATCAGGAAAGGCAAAAGAACAAAAATCCTAACAGTCTCTCAGACCACAGTGCAATCAAATTAGAACTCAGGATTAAGAAACTCACTCAAGGGCACAGTGGCTCATGCCTGTAATCCCAGCACTTTGGGAGGCTGAGGCGGATGGATCAAGAGGTCAGGAGATCAAGGCCATCCCGGTCAACATGGTGAAACCCCATCTCTACTAAACTATGAAAAAGTAGCCAGGCATGGTGGTGTGTGCCTGTAGTCCAAGCTACTCAGGAGGCTGAGGCAGGGGAATGGCTTGAACCTGGGAGGCAAAGGTTGCAGTGAGCCAAGATTGTGTCACTACACTCCAACCTAGTGACAGAGCAACACTCCCTATCAAAAAAAACAAAAAACAAACAAACAAACAAAAACTCACTCAAAACCACGCGACTACATGGAAACTGAACAACCTGCTCCTGAATGACTACTGGATACATGACAAAATGAAGGCACAATTAAAGATGTTCTTCGAAACAAATGAGAATGAAGACACAACGTCCCAGAATCTCTGGGACACATTTAGAGCAGTGTGTAGAGGGAAATTTATAGCACTAAATGTCCACAAGAGAAAGCAGGAAAGATCTAAAATCGACACCTTAATGTCACAATTAAACAAACTGGAGGAGCAAAAACAAACAAATTCAAAAGCCAGCAAAAGACAAGAAATAACTAAGATCGGAGCAGAACTGAAGGAGACAGAGACACAAAATAACTCTTCAAAAAATCAATGAATTCAGGGCTGGTTTTTGAAAAGATCAAGAAAATAGATTGACCACTAGCCAGACGAATAAAGAAGAAACGAGAGAATAATCAAATAGATGCAATAAAAAATGGTAAAGGTAATATCACTACTGATCCCATTAGAAATACAAACCACCATCAGAGAATACTATAAACATCTCCATGCAAATAAAACCAAAAATCTAGAAGAAATGGATAAATTTGTGGACACTTACACCCTCCCAAGACTAAATCAGAAAGAAGCTGAATCCCTGAATAGACCAATAATAAGGTCTGAAATTGAGACAGCCATTAATAGCCTATCAACCAACCAAAGTCCAGGACCAGATGGGTTCACAGCCAAATCCTACCAGAGGTACAAAGAGGAGCTGGTACCATTCCTTCTGAAACTATTCCAAACAATACAAAAAGAGAAATCCTCCCTAACTCATTTTATGAGGCCAACATCATCCTAATACCAAAACCTGGCAGAGACACAACTAAAAAAGAAAATTTCAGGCCAATGTCCCTGATGAACATTGATGCAAAAATCCTCAATAAAATACTGGCAACCTGAATCCAACAGCACATCAAGAAGGTTATCCATCATGATCAAGGTGGCTTCATCCCTGGGATGCCAGGCTGGTTCAACATATGCAAATGAATACGTGTAATCCATCACATAAACAGAACCAAAGACAAAAAACACATGATTATCTATATAGATGCAGAGAAGGCCTTCCACAAAATTCAACAGCCCTTCACACTAAAAACTCTCAATAAACTATATATTGATGGAATGTAAAGAATAAGAGCTATTTATGACAAACCCACAGTCAATATCATACTGAATGGGCAAAAGCTAAAAGCATTCCCTTTGAAAATCAACACAAGACAAGGATGCTCTCTCTCACCACTGCTATTGAACATAGTATTGAAAGTTCTGGCCAGGGAAATCAGGCCAGAGAAAGAAATAAAGGGCATTCAAATAGGTAAAGAGGAAGTCAAATTCTCTCTATCTGCAGATGACATGATTGTATATTTAGAAGACCCCATTGTCTCAGCCCAAAATCTTAAGCTGATAAGCAACTTCAGCAAAGACTCAGGAGATAAAATCAATGTGCAAAAATCACAAGCATTCCTATACACCAATAACAAACAAACCAAGAGTCAAATCATGAATGAACTCCCATTCACAATTGCTACAAAGAGAATTAAATATCTAGGAATATAAGGATGTGAAGGACCTCTTCGAGGAGAACTAAGAACCCTGCTAAAGGAAATAAGAGAACATAAACAGATGGAAAAACATTCTATGCTATGGTTAGGAAGAAACAATATTGTGAAAATGGCCATATTGCCCGAAGTAATCTATAGATTCAATGTGATCCCCATCAAGCTAACATTGACTTTCTTCACAGAATTGGAAAAAAAAAAAAAAAAAACACCTTAAATTTTATATGGAACCAAAAAAGAGCCTGCAGAGCCAAAACAATTCTAAGCAAAAAACAAAGCAGGCAGCATCATGCTACCTGACTTCAAACTATAAAACAAGGCTCCAGTAATCAAAAAAGCAGAGTACTGGTACCAAAACAGATATTCAGACCAATTAAACAAAACAGAGGCCTCAGAAATAATGCCACACATCTAAAACCATCTTATCTTTGACAAAACTGACAAAAACAAGCAAGGGAGAAAGAATTCCCTGTTTAATAAATGGTGTTGAGAAAACTGGCTAGCCGTATGCAGAAAGCTGAAACTGGCCCCCTTCCTTACACCTTATACAAAAATTAACTCAAGATGTATTAAAGATTTAAATTTAAGACCTAAAACCATGAAAACCCTAGAAGAAAACCTATGCGATACAATTCAGGACATAGGCATGGACAAAGACTTCATGACTAAAACACCAAAAGCAATGGCAACAAAAGCCAAAATTGACAAATGGGACCTAATTAAACTAAAGAGCTTCTGCACAGCAAAAGAAACTGTCATGAGTGAACAGGAAACCTACAGAATGGGAGAAAATGTTTGCACTCTACCCATCTGACAAAGGGCTAATATCCAGAATCTATAAAGAACTTCATAATTCTTTAAAGTTTTTAAAAATTTACAGGAAAAAAACCCCATCAAGAAGTGGGCAAAGGATATGAACAGACCCTTCTCAAAAGAAGATATTTATGCAGCCAAAAAACACATGAAAAAAAGCTCATCATCACTGGTCATTAGAGAAATGCAAATCAAAACCACATTGAGATACCATCTCATGCCAGTTAGAATGGTGATCATTAAAAAGTGAGGATAAAACAGATGCTGGAGAGGATGTGGAGAAATAGGAACACTTTTACACTGTTGATGGGAGTGTAAATTAGTTCAGCCATTGTGGAAGACAGCGTGGTGATTCCTCAAGGTTCTAGAACCAGAAATACCATTTGACCCAGCAATCCCATTACTGGGTATATATCCAAAGTATCATAAGCCATTCCATTATAAAGACACATGCACAAGCATGTTTATTGCAACACTACTCACAATAGCAAAAACTTGGAACCACCCCAAATGTCCATCAATGATAGACTGGATTAAAAAAAAAAGTGGCACATATATACCATGGAATACTATGCAGCCATAAAAAGGATGAGTTCATGTCCTTTGCAGGGATACGGATGAAGATGGAAACTATCATTCTCAGCAAACACAAGAACAGAAAACCAAACACTACATGTTCTCACTCATAAGTGGGAGCTGAACAATGAGAACACATACACACAGGAAGGGGAATATCACAAACCGGGGCCTGTCAAGGGGTGGGGGGCTAGGGTAGGGATAGCATTAGGAGCAATACTTAATGTAGATGACAGGGTGATGAATGCAGCCAACCACCATGGCATATGTATACCTACGTAACAAACATGCATGTATCCCAGCACTTTAAGTACAATTTTTAAAAAGGAAAATAAATAAAAAAATAAAAACATGACAAAAAGACTGAAATCTAAGACCTAAATGATGAAATTGCCACAAGAAAACATTGTGGAAACTCTTAAGGACACTGATCTGGGCAAAAATTTCTAAAGTAATACCCCACAAGCACAGGCAACCAAAGCAAAAATGGACAAATGGAATCACATCAAGTTAAAAAGCTTTTGGGCCGTGATGAAAGCAATCAACAAAATGAAGAATGGGAGAAAATATTTTCAAACCAACACTCTTACAACAGATTAATAGCCAGAATATATAGAGAGCTCAAACAATTCTGTAGAAAAAATCTGATAATCCAATCAAAAAATGGGCAAAGATTTCTTTGACATTTCTCAAAAGAAGACATACAATTGCCAAATAGGCATGTGAAAAGGTGATCAACATCACTGATTATCAGAGAAATGCAAATCAAAACTACAATGAGATATCATCTCACTCCAGCTACAAAGTGGTTTTTATCCAAAAGACAGGCAATAACAATTGCCAGTGAGACTGTGGAGAAAAGGGAACCCTTGTACACTGTTGGTGTAACTTAGTATAACCACTATAGAGAACAGTTTGGAGCTTCCTCAAATAATTACAAATAGAGATACCCTAAGATCCAGAAATTCCAGTGCTGGGTATATCCCTGGAAGAAAGGAAATCAGTATATTGAAGGGATATCTTCACTCCCATGTTCAAAATAGCCATTATTCACAAATGCCAAGATTCAGAAGCAACCTAAGTGCCCATCAACAGATGAATGGATAAAGAAAGTACTCCACATAGATACAATGGAGGACAATTCAGCCATGAAGCATGAGATCTTGTTATTTGTAATAACATGGATGGAACTGGAGGTCATTATGTCAAGTTGAAATAAGCCAGACACAGAAAGACAGACATTGCATGCTCTCACTTATTTGTGGGACCTACAAATCAAACCAATTGAGCTAATGTCTGGGCCTTAGTAAATCTTGTACCCTAAGTACTGGGAGCACAGCTTTTAAAATACACGATGAATGCTTTTAAGACAGGAATGAATAGATGAGAGGCACACAGTGATTGAGTGTTCTTCTGATACATAGTATCTTCCTAGACACATCAGTACAACTCTCAACAGGTAAGTATCTTCCTGTTATGTTACCTTCTGAAAAAGTAAGTGGCAGCACATGCCTTCTATTATTTTCCTTTGCAGAACAAGACCAATTGCATTAGTTGGGACACAGTGCTGACTGCATTTGAGTCCCAAGCAATTACTAGTCTATTGCTATCACCACAGAGTCAGAGGGGATGACACACAGGGGCCCAGCAATCTCACCCAAGTCAATCTACCAACCTTTCTGGCCACACATTTTGTGTACAGTATGCTGCTAGGGACCAGTGTCATGATGATAAATACCACACTGTGCCCTTGAAGAGCTCACCTCTGCTAAGGGAAACAGGCACAGAAACCCACAATGATGGTAGAGAGGAAAGACGACCATAGCACTCTGTGAGGGGTATAGGAGGCACCCAGAGGAGGAAATGGTTACATCTGTGTGAGGAGGTTGGTAAGGAAATACTTTAACAGAAGGGGTATATCTGGTTGGCCTTGGAAGGATGTGTAGAAGTCATCTAGGGGGCACAGGTACACTCCAGGCAGAGGTTACTGCATGGGTAAATATCTGTAGGTGTGGCTTGTTGAGATGGATTTCAAGTATTCTGGAATGAGGACAGCCATGAAAACAAAAGAAGGTGAAAGGAGATTTAGTAGATCTCATGCCAATGTCTCCACTTGAGTTTCTGATGAAAACCTAGAACCCCTGGACTCTCTGATAACACTGATTAAGTTGTTTATGATTCCTCATAGAATATGAACTCACAGGAGGTCAGCAAAGGGGTGTGTCTGATCCTTTGCTACTGGCTACAGCTGCAACCCCGCCTCCTTCATCAGCACATAAACAGTTCAGCAGCCTGGCTGAATGACTGCTGTGCAGGGCAGGGAAGGGCCAGGCACACAGACCAGCAAACAGCAGCACACAACTGAAAGGAGAACTCAGAGGATACAGTCAAGGAAGAAAAGTGGCGATGGACCTCATCCCAAATTTGGCAGTGGAAACCTGGCTTCTCCTGGCTCTCAGCCTGGTGCTCCTCTATCTGTGAGTAACTATCTGGGCTCTTCTCCTCTGTTTCCTTGGAATTGGGGTGCTAATCAGGCCCCTTTTTCCTTATCTGCTTTGAAGATCAAAAGAGATGTTCAACGAGAAGTAGCTTAAGTGTTGGACGCTACAAACACAGAGGTTATTATTGATCATACGCAGCTCTATGAAAAAATAAATAAGCATTTCTTCCATCCACCTTCTAATTTCGGTGACTAGGAGAGTTTCGGGACAGCATTTGGTGGTGGGAATGATCGATTAGCTTAGATTCAACCTAGACTAATCAATGAAAACACGGCAGAGGCTGATTACAAACTACTGAACATGACAGCCAGTGTGATCCTCATCCCCTTCCCAGGCTCTGGGAATTCTGGGAACAGGAGGGAGTGGCTTGGGTTTTTGTCTCATTATCTTGATTTTCTGGGTTCTGTTTCTGCTGGGAGAAATGTGTAGAACTATTGCCCCTTGGACCTGGTGGTTCCTTCTCCCCTGCCTTCCACTCCAGGATGTCATTTACATAAGGCACCAGGGAACACCAAGACTTCATGGAAAGCTGACCCTTGGTTCTTCCCTCTTTCCTCTGCCACACCCTGGAAAATCCCCTCTCTTCTATGACTCAGTCCTCCACCCTGTCATACACAGAACTATTTATCTTACACTGATTAATCTCTAGAGAAAAGGAAACTTGGAGAAAGTTTTGAAGCTTTACTCTTTAATCTTTTTCCTCCAGTCTCTCGGAGGCTAGGATTAATATAGAGCTTTGTTTCTCACCTAATGGGAATATCTGCCAGCAGCCCAAAAAGGCAGGAGCCGTGAAAGCCAATTGGGATTTTACACATTTTTTCCCCTTTACATTACAGTACTGGAGGATGAACCCTCTCAGTGGTGGAATTCCTGGCATCCTAGAGCAGGTAGAGAGAAGAGTTACTTTCCACTGTGGGCAGTGGAGGCTCGACCCACCACATCTGACTTCTACCTCAAGTTGACTTTTATTAACAGTAGAGAGAACCACAATGACATACAAATAGAAATATAAACCTCATTTTCTCTCTTTCACAGAAAGCTAAGGAATTCAATGGGTTGTGGCAACATGGTTTCCATTTTCTAACATTTTAAACTGAATTGATATGGTTTATATTCATTCATTTTTTAAACCAGAAATTTTGGGGGATAGACTATTTCCAGCATGTTCCTTCTGGATGATAGAGGGCTCTTAGTTTGGCAGTTGTGAAAATAAATGTGGGTAAAATAATCTCACTTTTCCAGACTAATGTCAGGAATATGAGTCTAATGCACAAATGTATATCTCTAAGACAAGACTGCATATGTCTTTTTAAATACACCTGCCTGACAGCTTCATACCTCCTTTTCTAATATACCTGCTTAGCAGGTTATCTTACACTCCCAGGGAAGGGAAATAAGCAAGACTGTGAGCCACTGATAATAGCAAAAGCATCCAGATAGGATCAGTATGAAGTGACAAAATATTCCTCAGCTCTCAGGGTACAACTCCAAAGAGATAGTCATGGGTCCGGGCTCCACAGTGGAGGTCACTCGAAGGGCAAACAGGTTGGCATCTCATCTGCTTCAAGCCTGGACACGGGCACCATCTGTGTCACTCTGTGTGTGGTCTGCCATGTTGTGGGGCTGTCACTACAGATTTAAGCAGCCGGGCATAGAATACCTTACTTAGCCTCAGACAATGCTGGTGCAGCCCAGGAGTCAGGAACTGTAGTGTAGACCATGTCCTCCTTAGGCCAACGCGATGATGTGCAATAGATGACTGGCTTTTCTGTTAGCCTCTTCCTTGGAACCAAAAGCAGCATTACTCTACCAAACAGAGGACAGCTGGAAAGAAACTAAAGACTTCGCCCAGCTCACCCTCTGCCTTGACATGGTACCATGTGAGTCTAGACACTCGCCAAGATCTTTCCTCAGGGGCCAGTGCTGCTGACACATTAACTCAATAGCTTGTCCTCACCTGAGAGGTCAGGTAACTTGTTTAAAGTTCAGGGCAGAGATTAGTGTCATTGATTTGCCATGGCTGTGCAAACAAAGGAGGGAACGGAAGTGGGAAAACCCAAGGCCACGCTGGTGTTGGCAGGTGGTGCACGCACTTCCACTAACTATTCTGGGGCAGGGACCATATGTGTGACTGGGCCTGCTCAAACTGTCCCTGCTGGGTCCTCGAAACTCCGCCCTTCATGTAATTTCTCAATTTTATTTTACCACATACTATGAGTCACTGGATTTTTACAAAATGTTTGGAACCTATACGGCCTTAAAGGCTGAACTCTAAAGAAGAGTAAACAAGGTCTTAATACAACTCTCTGGGACATTTAATCTCTACTTATATGCCATTCTGCATCTTTTGCTATCAACAGGAAGGTACCTGGACTTTAGAAGGCCCCTCTCTGTCTTTTAGCTGAAAGCACATATGAGGCATGTGGATTCTTTTATGCACATCATCTTTGTCAGCCACATTTTTGGAGTTTGCCTCTCTGGAGCCAACCTTATGGCACTAGCAGCTCACAGCTGAATCAGAGTCTGGCAACCTCTTCCTTCAGCCTCCCTTCTTCCTCCAGTTTTCCATTCCTCAGTCACAGCAGAGGGGGAAGTTCTACAAAGATCCAGAACCCTCAGTTGGAAGAGTTTGTACATGATTCATGAAAGATGAGTTGCAGGCAGGCCTGCCAAAGCGAATGCAAGGCTTTATGGGTTTTTCCTCAGAGATAGTTCCTGTACAGAGGCAATGAACTGACTGCTGTCTGACTGACCACCTTGAAAAAAATGAGTGTGCCTGGTACTGTGCTTCTCAGGTGAGTATTGCCTGAGAAGTATTAGTTGTTGGTTCTTCTGCACACCATCATTCAAGGACATATGGGTCAACCATCCTCCTCATTAACTCAAATCAACCAGATCATCTGACCACAGACACTGAGGTGTAGCTGAAAAGTGCCCACATTTCCATAAGGCCAACAGAAGCCATGAACACACTTGTCAATCTGTAGAAACAAGGACTCCATGACTCCTCCAAGGCCTCTCTGTGAATCAAGCTTTAAGAAGGGCCAGATCCTAAAATAGGGTCAGAGCTTAGAGGAAAGAAAAAGTATAAAAGTCTCTGAGCAAATTATAAGGGCAGTGTCACCACAGGCTTTTGGTGGTCCTCTGTCATAGAGTGGATGCAGTGATGCAAAATCTCATCATCGGTGCAGAAGACAAAAAAAGTCACCCTTTCTACCTAGGATGAGGATTCCCAAATCAGGGAAGAGTCCACTTACTAAACAGACATAAGGGAATGAAGTGCCCTGGAAGAATTCCCACCTGAACCTCTCAGGAGCACTCATGTTTGCGGACATTTATCAAGTATTCACTCCAGGACTGGGACCATGAAGACTTCAGCTGCTTTCAGTGAATCATTGAGATTTTGGGGTGTCTCAGAGTCAGGGAAGGACCCGATGAGTGAATGCGATTACTGACATTGGAGTTGCTGTTATTATTTATCATGTACATATTACCTCCCTCTCTTGACCATCCAAGTTCCTCAGTCAGTAACTGATCAGCCTCCCAATCTATAAAGTCGCAATCCCTATGACCTGATTGCTGTTTCACTTCGTAGATATGGGACCCGTTCACATGGAATTTTTAAGAAACTGGGAATTCCAGGACCCGCACCTTTGCCTTTTGTTGGAAATATTTTGTCCTATCGTCAGGTGAGTTATTTGAGCCTCCTCTTTTGCTTTTTATGGTTGCAAATATCAGCTTAGTTCCATCAGTAAAAATGCGCCTCCTTGGGAGGAAATTCTGATGCTTCACGTTTTCAGAAATGGTGGGACTGGGCATGGTGGGTCATGCCTGTGAACTCAGCACTTAGTGAGGCCAAGACTGGAAATCACTTGAGTCCAAGAATTTGAGACCAGCATGGGCAACACAGTGAACCCCCATCTCTAAAAAGAAAACATTGCCCGGGCATGATATAGTAGCCCAGGCCTGTAGTCCCAGCTACTCTGAATGCTGAGATGGGAGAATTGCACGAACTCAGGAAGTCAAGGCTGCATTGATCACGCCACTGCACTACACTTGGTCAAGAGAGCAAGATTGTTTCAAAAAAAGAAAGAAAAGAAAGAAAGAAAAAGAAGAAAGAAGGAAGGAAGGAGAGAGAAAAAGAAAGAAGAAAAAGAAAAGAAAGAACAAAAAGAAATGGTGTGTAGGCTCCACCCAGAGCATGGCCATGTTTACCCTGTGGCTTTCTTGCAAATTCTCAGAAGCCTCAGGTTTCCCTCAGTTGAACAGCCCCGATCTCAAGCAGATCAGCACTTGATGTTCAAGACTTGATGTGCAGATTCTGTGACACCATAAAAGGTATTTTCTTTTTGTTCCGTGCAGGTTCTCAGGCAGGTAGAGTCATAGTTAGTATTAAGAGAAAAGCAGGCAGGGGGGCCCTAGTAGTGGCTCATTATCTGTGTGCACCAGATTCAAACTTGTCTCTTTGTAGCAAGAGCTCATGAGTAGACTTTTCCTCCCAACTTCCTCCTGGACAGTTTTGAAACTTTAGTTTATTAAGCAACTTAAGTATTCACCATCAGGAAATTTGCACCTACTTGAATTTTCTCAAGTACTGCTAAATTCTCTAGGTGTATTTCCATGGCTCTACTCCAGCTGTTATAACATCTTTTGCATATCTGAGAGAAAGAACAAGACGGTTCTGCTTGACTTCTTTTCCTTCAAAGGCTGCACCCTATGGGTGAGTCTGAGCAGGGAGTGGATGTAACTGAGATAAGATGGTGGTTGTCTATCAACCTCAGATATTTAAGCACAAAATCAATTTGGTGTGTGTGTGTGTTTTTTAACACAAAGAAGTGACCACTTATAAAAAATCATTAGAAAGGCAATAATTTGTCAAAATTATTAAATATTTAATTTTACTGAACAGAATGTCATATGTGCCACATGGACTGTGAACTGTGGCCAAGCCTTTGTGGCTACCCTGGTCTGGGGCT